GTGGGGACGTATAGTGAGCTGATGATGATGATTCTATATCTGTGCCAAATTTCATTAAAACAAGTCGAGTCGTTGCGGAGATATCTTCTAACAGACATTAATTCATCTAAACTTTCGCATTTATAATATTAGTAAGATTAAATTGATTGCATCATCAGATCACATTTCTACTAATTTCGCTATTTATATTTGTGTTGTTTGAAACAGGTACGGACGCGCAAGTGCGCACGCACGCGCCACTCGCGACCTCATGCAGCAAGTGCGGACACAACTTTAACGAACCCAGCGCGCTGCAGCGACACCTCAAGTACGTTACAAATACTTAAACATTAGAGTAAAAAATATATATAATTTGCTTTTCCTTTAAAAACTATTAATGTGTAATTTTCTTATATCTATGAAAGGAGATTGAAATTTTAGCCCAAGAAATATGCATAAGACATCTTTCTTACACGAAATAAGTAAGAAATTTCCAATCAGTTTGACTTATATAAATGTCAATTAAACTGACACAATCACTAAAAAACTCTTTAATACTTAACTACTACTTAACAAGCTTAAGTACGTAGTACGTGGGCTTCTGAGACCAAAATCTAAGTTTAAAACATATTGTTATCTCTATTTTGTCAAATATGAAAGTCAGGGATGACGATATGTTTTATACAGGGATTGCGGCGTCAGAAACCCACGGTAAGTGCGATAGTGTATTGTGTCAGAGAGGTGCACGGTCACGAGGGGGAGACGCGCGGCGAGCGGGGGAGGTCGCACGCATGCGCAGTGTGCGGACGCACTTTCCGCTCCGCCTCCGTGCGCAACGAACACCTGCGCGTACACACCGGAGAGCGACCATATCCTTGTGACGTCTGCGGGGTTGCTTTCCGACGGTAACACCCCATTTTTAGTTTACATTACCCAATATTACACAACAAACAGAGCGACGGTGGCGCAGTTAAGTCCTTGACCGGACCGGACCGTATTAGTTCGGGTTCGATCCCCGCCATGTACAAGCTACAAGTCAACCCGCCCTGCTCCTTAGCGGTCGACTAGCTTAGAAACATTCAATTTGGGTAGGCTTTAAGCGCGGCGGTGGGTACGTAATATAATAAGCCGACGATGACGATGTTACACACAAAATTAGCCCCTTCGTACACAAGGCAATTTATATCTTCGAAACTATAGCGAATACATTTCAACTGTATTTGCTCCGCCATTTTGAAAAAGTGATATTGCCTTGTGTACGAAGAGCATGACAGGTATATTTAAAATTGCGAAATACTTTACTATTAGGTCGACAGCGATGCGTAACCATCGCCTGATCCATTCAGGGGTACGTGCGTGGGCTTGCGCGCGCTGCCCCAAGCGATTCCGCATACGCTCCGACTTGCGCACGCACATGCGACTCAAACATCCTACTTATATGATTGTATTTGAGGTATTATATGACATGTTTCAATATTCTACTTTAATCATATCCCTTTAGCTGTTTCTTAACAAAGATTTGAGTACGTTATAAAACTGTGCTGTACTCTGAGTCGGTTTTCAGGCGCCTTGGGTGAGAAATGTTCCAAAAATAAAGTATCTTAGTTGGTCACCGTATACGCCCTTTTATATCCGACTCTGACGCCCTCTTATACCCAGCGCCCTGGGCGGTCATCCCGACACGCCCTGGGCACTGGGCAGTAGTACTAGCAACAAAAAGTAGTTATAAGTAACATTGGATGGGTCACTCTATGTCTTTCTTTTAATTGTCAGATGAAAGGTTTAAACCCTACATATGATGAGATAATGCAACACATCCGAGATAACAACATCACCCAGGGTCGTATCATAGAGATCACCAAAATGTCCTTCGAAAAGGTAAGTCCAGAAGACAAGCATCAAGTTTAAATATTCAAGAAATCGGAGGCTCCCCATCTCCCATTTCCCAAGATAACTAACAGACTTTATCGTAAGCAAAACAAACAGTTGATTAAATTTAAACTATACGGTTATTTCTTAAATTAAATTTGTTTAAAATGTAATTTCAAACAAAAGTTATGGGATTTTTGTGTACTTTGTATGTAGGGTACAAGCAGTATAGTGCCGACAACAGCACGTGCCCTCTCTCTGCTCGGACACGTGCCTCGCACAAAGATCACTTGTAAGACACCCACGCCTGTTAATATAGGTAAGTTAACATATAAACAGAAACTGGTTTAGCCCTTCTAGCACTCTGGCCGATATTTCTATGTCATCCTCTTTTTTATGCCGAGGGGGAGGTTAATAGGGTTTTGTCAGACTGTGTAATACGCAAGCATGTGGTGCCCCTGCCCCTGTCCAACGCCCTGGGCGGTCGCACAACAACGCCCCATCCTAATGCCGGCCCTGCGTATTTAAAACTTTCGTTATTATTAGTATCACTCATCAATCAATCACAAACAAGTCGTAACAAGTAAACAGTTTTTCTCATAATTATAGAAAACATCGCTCATTCTTTCCACCATACCTGTAAGGAGCAAATTTTTAACCTTCGATGAGCTATTACTAAGTTAGAAAAAACTTTTTTCAAAGATATGTTCCAACCGGCGCGTCGAGGTCGGGGTATTGCTAAGAACCCTAGAAGACCTAAGATCCTACAAGGACCGCATGGCGACTCTGAGTTAGACGTCAACGCGTACTCCATGCCCATCGCATGCGGTACTGGACAGGTAAGTTTATATTTATGGCTAAACATAGGTATTCTATCTGTTTAGGCTGCCGACATCATGCCATCTCTCTCATTTACTTTGGTAAAACAGAGACAATATATTTTAAGACAAGAGCCACGTTACTACCAAAAACTAAACCCGAAAAACAAACTCGTCAAATATAAAACCATCAAATATGTAAATCGTCAAACTGTAGACCGAAAAGCCTTTCATAACCAGTGGGCATAAGTCGAACTAAATTAGTTCAGCTCACTAGCGCCACTCATCAACTTCAAAAATGTCACAAGATCTTTGTATTGTAGCTGTCATGTCATTTTTCTTTTATGTCCTTTTCTATGTCTAAACGTGGGTTTCTGACATACCGTCATCCCTGTCTTTCATCTTTGACAAAACATCGATAACAATTTTTCTAAATGGAGATTTTAGTCTTGGAAACTCACTTTAAGGACGTTTTATAGGTAGTCTAATAGAACCGCGATAGCAGCGCCTCTTTCATCTTAGATATCCTTGTTTGAGTATAGTCAAATATTCCAGGCGCTACCAGAACTGAATGTGGAACTGTTAAGTGAAGGCGCGCTGCACAGCGGCCAGGTTGTTCAAATACAGCTTGACGACAACATCTGGAATAAAACCTAGTGATTTAAAGGTCTTTTTCATAATTAACATCTGGTATTCTGCTGTTTGCTGAAACATTTGTATAAAAATTTGTCATCGAGTTAATTTTAACCTATGTACTGTTAGGAAGAAAATCCGACAGTGTGCCGGTGTGGCGCAACACTAGCACTAAAGTGTCGACGTTTATGTCCCCTCACTAATTATTTCTGACATTTGACTTTGTAATAAAAGCGCGCCATTCGCGCCAAAGGATTCTAATAATGTCTAAAAATATTTTGTATAATTGTATGTAACATAATATTACTAATATTATAAATGCGAATATTTAGATGGATGGACTTAGAATGTATTTTCAGAACGGCTGCATGGATCTCGCTGAAATTTGGCATAGATGTATAACATAGTCTGGAAGATCGCTTAGGCTATTATTTCTTTTAATTCCGAACGGAATAGTGGGTGACAGCTATTTCAAAATAAATAAATAAAAAAAATCTTCATTTACGTATTGAAATTTAAACAATATTTTTTACCATTGAGGCAAACACAAATACAATAATTTTAAGTTTATTTGTTTAATTAGAAATAAACTTGTTTAATATGTATCTAAGTATAGATTATATCAACTGTTTAAAATTAAATAAAAACATAAAAAAGCAACCAGTGTTTTTCTTATCTTGGTCAGCGTGGTTGACTATGGCCTAATCACCCTTAACTTAGGGTAGGCTCCGAGCTCCTCGGTGGGGACGTATACTGAGCTGATGATGATGAATATGTCAGAGACAACTCACATTCATAACCAAAAAGAGTTGACAGAGCAGACATTTGACATGTACCTCTCTGCTCATCCACATTCATACATCTACATACATTTTGCTATCACGTCATGGTTATTGCGACCATTTATTTTTGACTCAAAACGGGACATTGGTTTTTTTCAATTAAACATCATCATGAAAATAAACTTTTTTTAAATTCTTGCTTCAAATAAAATCAGTTAAATTAAGTAACAAATTTAGAGATGCATATATCATATTTATATTTATCAGAGGCTTTGCTTTAAAAAACGGAACGATTTGGTGTCCCGGCATTCATGTCGTGGGCATCAGAACTCTTAACTATAAAAAGGAACAGTCTCTTTAAAACAGGACGTTTGGGCACATTAAGTTTATCTGCATGGTATGTCAGAAAAAAAAATATAAGAGAAGGGGGCAAACGAGTAACGGATCCCCTGATTTATTTGGACATCCGCAACAACAAAGGAACTGCAGAGACCGTCCTTTAAGGGACGTGTACACTCGATATAAAATTTAAAAAATGGGACCCACCAGTAAGCTAATTAATTTTTTATTTATTTATTTATTTCATGTAACATTACGTCACGCATATTGGAAAAAATGTTACATTAGTTTTGGAAAAATATTACGTGGAAATTATACGACGTGTGCACGTACCCAATGTCGCACTATCGGGCAGTCAAGCTTGTCGCTAATGCCTTTAAAGCTAAGCTAAACCTTTTGATAAAAAAAAAATCAAAATCGAGCACCAGGGGCGGAGTTACGCGTTACACATAAAAACATACATACTTGATGACCTTATTCTTTTTGAAGTCTACTAAAAATGGATTTAATATAGTCAAAGGCTTCTTAATCCTTAACATACCATAGTTAAATAATATTTCGTTTAAAGATATGATTCGTAGTATCATTAATCGAAGTGTAGATAACGTTATCATTGATAAATTGAAAAACAGTCCGACAATCGACACAACACATTTGATTGGTAAAAATATTAGTCGGTTCTGTTTTGGCAAGACGTCTTCAGGTAAATTTGAAGTTTTCAATATTTTACATGATTTTTTTTTATATTTGAAACAGTGTTTTAATATTAATATGTAGTGAGTTAATTTAAGTTCCATTTAAAATCTTATTCGTTCTTTAGTTATGTTTATATCATTTTTTTTTTAATTTAAGGAGTAAGTAATGTGCTTCTATTATTATTATCAGAAGAGTATTGTAAAGTAGGAAAATAATATTGAAATTGGCTTTATTTAGACTAAAATTTATTTGTTTATTTTTTGAGTTTTTTTTTTTATAATAATTATTTTTATTAAGACACATCCTACATCCATTTTAGAAAAAAAAAACAGGATAAAATATTCATAATATATATTTATTTTTAATATTATTTTCAATTTTATCTATATTTGGTTATGTTTTTTATTAACATGTGATTTTATCTCTAACATTTATACGTAAACTGTAATTCCCCTGTTTTAAGTTTGGAGAATCATTGTAAGTACAAAAACATATAGTCATTTCTTTCCTTCTCTATGTATTAAATAGAGATAGCAATATGTTTTCATATATGTATTTTTAGCAGTGGAAACATTAAGTGTTGAACAATTATACGCTGACGAGAGATGCGTCTTCTACCTTGTATAAAATCTTATGACGAAGGAGTTGATCATTCAAAGCAGATAGACAGAGAGATCAAAGAATGGATCAAGACGTACAACGAAGTAAGTTAATTTTTCACACTTTTTTTATAATTTATTTTATAATAAAATTGCATTAAAAATTCAATAAATTCTACTGAACAGTCCCGTAGTGTAGACTTATGTTAAATCTACACTTAATCCCTTAGTGACCATTTAACGTTTCTGTGTGCGGCATTATCCAATTCAAAACACATAAGTCATATGTAAAACCACCTTTAGTGGCTAAAGGCGGTTTTGCTTTGTAGTAGTTAAGTACTCAATTAAATCATAAACGACTATAAGTGATACTTCATATTTGTATTATTGTAATTTCTAATTGTATTTAACATCGTTTTACACAGTGTTAGAATCGAGCGAATGGCGCGATTTCTTTACCATGTGTCAGATTGAATATGAATATATCCCCATAAACGTTGACATTTTAACACGGCTAGTGTTGCTCCGATACACCGGCACTGTGTCGGATTTTCTTTCTAACAGTTATTTGATAAATTAATTTGTCTTAGAACCTGACTGACGTTAATATAGCAAATATCAAGAATCCTTCAAAATTCCATCAAAATACGTGATAATTTATAAAATTCAATAGGCAGTAGGTAACTGAGATACGGTGCATTATTCGTATGCAAGCAATTTTTTTTATTGTTTTCACATATCTTCTAATTTTTGACTAATGTCATGTTCAAGGTCATCGACTCAATCTCTCGCGATCAACTAAATCTATGTCAAATCAAAGCAGTTTTTAGAAATATTACCAATGGAAACTTCTTAGAATTTAGTAGGAAATAGTATTACGAATTCGGCTATTATAGATTGTTTAGATTGATGTTTTATCATCGGCATCGTTTAAAGCGGTACTAGTGATATCAAACTGTTCGTCGATGGAATGATAATCACAGCGATCTGATAATAAATGCCGCTTTGTGATAATGATGCGTCATGCAGTTGTGATAGGCGCTTATAAGTGTGATGCAATCAACATATCAAATACTTCCGCCTATACTTATGTGATTTTTTTAAAGATGAAGATATGCTTGTACTCGTTAATAATATCAATAAGCCCGATTAACCATAGGTTTATGAGACCGAAATTCCAGTTTAAAAGATATCACATATATAAACAGAGATAACCATATTTTTAACGGGGATTTTTGGCTCGGAAAACCACTGTAAGTGTACCATTATGACACTGAAGAATGCGAATCGAAGGACTGTAACCCATCAATTTTAGTTTGTCGATTAGGTTTGAGGCTGTCAAAGTTATTAACGTTCGTACTGGTACACCCTTCTTTTAGTCGGACAATTAAATGTTGCAGGCAATCAAGCTTCTACTCTTGGGCACAGGTGAAAGCGGGAAAACGACTATTATAAAACAAATGAAGATTCTGCACGTAAAAGGATTTAGTCACAGGTCGGTATAATGTTATACAAACTTTATGTCGGCACAAAATATCGCACGAGATTTGCGCACAACACAATTTTATATAATTAAACTAGCGCTTGATGTTAAGTAGTTTTAGGTCAAAAGATGATATGCGCTAGTTTAAAGTGCCTATTTAATTCTAGACATCCCCAGGACGTTGGGGGATAGGAGGCACACGAAGAAATGCGAGCGTTTATAAAGTTTGAATCTCATACTACCATAAATACTAGCATTTCAAGGTAAAATTACTTTGACTATGATATCTTTCATAATTTTTTTTTTTAGTGAACGAACGGCAATGATTCCACACATTAGGTTCAACACACATGAAGCAATCTATGAGATAATACAAAATATGCCTGTACTTAGTATAGGTTTGCAGAATGCTAAACACGTGCGCGCACAGCAATACCTACTCAAAGTCGGCCCTGAAGGACCACAGGAGTACACTGAGGTATTAAGAACCATGCCTGGTTTTTTGAGACCAATATCACTGTATAAAAAATCGTCATTTCTGGCATTAATAAGTTGCTTATGTGTCCTTCTAGACTATGATCTAAATCTATGTCAAATTTCATCAAAATCCGTTCAGTCGTTCCGGAGATACCTTCAAACATCCATCCATCCAAAAATTCGCATTCATAATATTAGTAAGATAGAGATAGCAATATATTTTAAATGGAGATTTTAGTCTCAGAAACTCACGATTAGATAAACGACAAACTATTAACGATTTTTAAAGAAAGTGAAACATTTTTTCTTTTCAATTATTTATTGGGTGAAATTTTCTTTATCCTTGTAAAGGGGCTGTTTATGTGAAATGATGTGGTCTTCCACTGCGGAAACACACGTATAAAAATGGATTTTGGCAATGGAAGCTCACGCTAATACGATGTTTCAGGAATATTTCGACAACGTACGAGATCTATGGCAGGACGCCGGAGTTAGAGAATGTTTTAAAAGAGCCAATGAATATCAATTAATTGATAGTGCTGAATAGTAAGTTAGATTTTATTATATTTTAACATAAGATAAAAAAAACAAATAGGCTAACTGAGAAATCCTTTTTGAAATCGTTTAAATAACCTTGGCGAAATCACAGCATATGTAAACTCATCGCAGTAGTTTTTTAGTTTATACCACATTAACTAAAAAACTACCAAACTGATGTTTTAGCAATGAAATCTCTTTTATCTATTGTATATTTATTTTTCAGTTTCTTAGACAGAATAGATCTGATTGGTAAGGAGGACTACGTGCCTTCAGACGCTGACATATTGCGGTGTCGTCGGAAGACCACCGGCATACAGAAGATTGAGTTCAAAGTTAAGGTAGTTTGAACAGCGCCATCTATTCTTACAAATATTGAAATATGTCGCAATTTTTATTACAGTTTTCGTTGATAATTCAATATTTTTAAAGTAAAATTAAGCAATATGACTCCTATCTACACGTATAAATAAAATGGCAGTGTCTGTATGTATAATGAAAAAAAAAATCATATTTAATTTCATAAATTAGAATTTTTTATCTGTTTGCGCAAGGGATTTTAATGAGAAGATAGTTAATACAATCGGGAATACTATAGGCGACTTTTTTAAATCTGCACTTACAAAGTCGCGGGAAACAGGTAGTCTGAACAATAGAATGGATTTTGTTTTTTTTAAATTCAGGTTCCTAAATCAATGCATGGTGGTACACAAGACTTCTGGATGTTTGATGTCGGCGGCCAGCGGGGGGAGAGAAAGAAATGGATACAGGTTGGTTTATAAGGTTACAGGATATAAATTGTTGGGTAAAGTATTTATATTTCGATAGATGGCGTTGAAAGTAATTTTATAGTTTCCTCTCTTTTTTATTAATGCGAAAGTTTTATGTGTGTATGTTTGTTAGAAGGTATTTTCGGAACAGCTCACTGGATCTTGATGAAATTTGGCATAGATTTAGAACATAGTCTGGAAGAACACATACTACTTTTTTTATTAATTCCGCAAGGATGTAGCCTGGTGATAGCTAGTTATCAAAGTTATTACAATTTTGCAGGTATTTGAAGGTATCCACGCGATCTGGTTTGTAGTGGCATGCAGCGATTTTGATCAGACATTGCGAGAAGACAACTCACAGAACAGACTTAAAGAAGCACTCATTCTTTTTGAAGATGTTTGGCAAAGCAGGTTATTACATCCTATATTAACATATAATCTTCTTAAACTATAAAAAAAACTATCATTTTTTAAGAAACAAGTTAATATTACGTCTCAAACATTCTCAAACAATCTTTTGAATTTAGAAATAATGGTCAAAAGACTAAAAGATTTAAATTGCAGCTCTTTGAATTTTAATCTTACTAATATTATAAATGTGAATGTTTGGATGGATGGAAGTTTGTTACTTGTTATCTCCAGAACAGCTACATGGATCGTGCTGAAATTTGGCACAGATGTAGAACATAGTCTGGAAGAAGACATTGGCTAAAAATAAGTTTTTTTTTAAATTCCGTGCGGACGGAGTCTTTTTTGGCTAATTAGAGTTAAAGATGGCAAAATTTTGCTATAATTCACGAAAAATGGCTACATATAATGATAGATATTTTATTGCTTGATGATGAAGTGATATCTTCTGCGTGTTGCAGGTTCCTCCTTGAAGCTGGTATCATAGTATTCCTTAACAAACAAGATCTGTTAGAGACTAAAATAAAACAAGGCAGGAGTATAGCGCCATACTTCCCCAAGTACAACCATTTTGAGGCCTCAGGAGACGAGTATACAAGAACAAAGCTATTCATTAGAAATCTTTTTGTTGTAAGTCTTTATTTTATTACAACCAAAGTACTATTCGTTCAATAAAAGCCAAAAAATTATTCAATTTTGTACCATTTTAAATCCATTCCGACCAAAAGACGCGATCTAATTTTTGAAGGGTTATTTCAGTACTTTCTTTTATACAGATATTAGCCGTCAGTTATGAATTAAGCACAAAATTCTAGACATTTAAGTATTTCTTTCTAGAATTTAACAACAAAGAAGCGAGAACGTCGCCATATTATAGCATCAGCGGAGAGGTTCGTGGTGCTGGAGGCGAGCAGAGCTCGGGAGTGCTACTTCCACTTCACCACAGCGACTGACACACACAACGTGCGCACCGTCTTCCGCGACGTGCACCAGATGATACTTACACACATACTCAGCAATATCGGCGTCTACTGACAACGGTCTACTGGCCTACTGACACCAAAACGGTCTACTGATCTACAGAGAACCAGTCTACTGGTCTACTGACAACCGGTCTACTGACAACCGGTCTACTGGTCTACTGACATCGACAAGATCTAACACCAACCCTGTCTACTGGTCTACTGACACCGTCCCGGTCTACTGGTCTCCTGACAGCAACCTGGTCTACTGATCTACTGAAAATCGGTCTACTGGTCTACTGACATGGACAAGATATAACACAAACCCTGTCTACTGGTCTACTGACACCGTCCCGGTATACTGGTCTCCTGACAGCAACCTGGTCTACTGACACAAGAATGGTCTACTGATACCGACAAGATCTACTATATTGGTCTACTGAATATGGTATCTTGCACTGAATATTTGACTGCGATTATTCCTAAGAAAAAATATTAACTGTACTACATAAAATTCCTTACAAATAAAAAAATAATAATCTCTGACTTTAAAACTATTGTAATAAGTAATCTTGTTTTTATTTTTATTTAATTTTGTATTTCAGAATAGTGTTGAAAATAATTGCTCACTTTTAGCAATACAAATACATAGATGATATTAGAATTAAGATATTTTTAATAAAGTATTCTGTATAATTATTAAAAAAAAGTTTTTACCATTCCCTTATTTCCGTCGAATATTTCTAAAACCTTCTTTTTTATTTCACTTACATAAATCTTGTATTTTTATTTATAAACGACATATTTTCTTTTACATAAATTTATTAACAATTAAATTACAAATATCTAAGTCATGGAAATGTTATAATAATTTACATAAGACAAAAAAATATATATTTCAAATTTACAACATAAAAAAAATAATCACATTTTTTATTCTTTTTCATTAGTATCGTCAGATGCTTCCTTGCTGTCATAATATGCTTTAACCGCTTTAGTACCTTCAATCATAGCGTGGTTAGCTAATTCACCAGGAATAAGCAGTTTTATAGCTGTACGTATTTCGCCACCACTTAAAGTACTTCTTTTTGAATGTAAAACTAATCTACCAGCTTCTTCAGCAATCTTCTCGATCATATCATTTACGAAATTATTCATAATTAACATAGATGTCTTCGATATACCAATATTTCTGTCTTCGACCACGGATTTTAAAACTTTGTAGATATAACTTGCGAAATTACGACTGTTCTTTTTTGATTTATTTTTATTTTTCAATATCGGTTTCTCGATCGATTTGTCCATTGTTTTTAGAGCGTTCTTCGGTTTTTTGACAGGCGCCATCTTGTATATTGAATAGAAATACAAATCATTTTGTAAAGTTTGCGCGCTATTTATTGAGATAACGAAGTTCTAACCAATGGGTGTTTTAAAACGTTAAATGGTGTGTAATTTTCAGAAAGGCGAGGTAGTTATAGTTTTTATATTTTTTGATTTCTAAAAAATTCTACTCGGATTTGAACTCGGCAATTTTTTAACTTCGAATTAATTGTGGTTATATAAATGTAAATATTAAAGCACTAGCCGTCGCCCACTACTCTGTTCCTGAGGAAAAATCTATATGTTCTTCCAGATTATGTTCTACATCTAAGCCAAATACAGCGGGATCTGTTAAGCTGTTCGGAAGATACCTTCTAACAAACATCCATCCATCCATCTTAACATTCGGATTAAAAATTTTACGAAGATTAGAAAGATCTTCTACATCTTCTAATCTTTCAATTAGAAGATGTAGAAGAGATTTTCACATGCATTCGTAGTAAATCAGACATCTTACTATTTAAGTTAAAAAAAGTTTTTATTTTATTTTTAGGATTAATAAAACAAGTCTTAAGATTACGTCAATTTAATTATTCATTCATAAATATATTTACATAAACATCGAGATAAAATAAACACAAAAATCAACATTAAATTTTACATTAATTTGAATCAATCAGAATCACTATCTTTTACTTTACTATCATTGTACGCCTTAAGTGCTTTGGCTCCTTCGACTAACGCGTGTTTCGCTAATTCCCCTGGAACAAGAAGTTTGATAGCGGTCCGAATTTCTGCACTTCCCAAAGTACTCCTCTTTGAATGTACGACAAGTCTTCCAGCTTCTTCAGCTATTTTTTCTATCATGTCGTTTACAAAATTATTCATAATCTGCATTGACTTTTTCGATATACCGAAGTTTTCTTTTAATATACTTCTCAATAACTTATAGATGTAAATAGAGAAACTATGGTAATTCCTTTTTTTCATCTTATTTTTTATAATCGGTTTTTCGATCGGTTTCTCCATTGATTTCAATAAATTCTTCGGCTTTTTTACTGGCGCCATTTTGGAGTTTTAAAAATGTTTTTTGTTTGTAGTTTTTTTTTTCGATGTTATTTTAGAGTATAATTAGTTGAATAGGTATCTTAGTAAAAGGGGGTAATAAAACGTATTTAACTCAAATTTTGTTGTTTTTAACTTATTAGTAAAATAACGAATTGATTTTAAACATTATTCGTATAAACTTTATAAATATAAATAAAAATGTTTCAAATATCATTTATACGGAAATAATTTTTGAGGTTATAATTAAAAACATTAATTTTTTAAATCTATATCAGATAAAGATTTTTTTGATAAGTGTTTTAGCATATCGGTCATTATAATGCTTTTATAAGCCTAAAGACTATTTCAAAATAAATGGATTTTACTTATCAATATTAAATAACCGAGGGGCATAAACATATTATTAAATATTTTTGACTTATTTGATGGTAGTCTAAAATAAAACTTACCGCATCTCCTAACTACCCTTAATTTTCGATATTTATTACTATAAAAGTCAACGTAACGAATTTACGCACGTCAATATACGTCAGTCAACCGTGCGCGGCAAATATGACAGGTCGTGGCAAAGGCGGGAAAGGTCTCGGGAAGGGAGGCGCGAAACGTCACCGAAAAGTACTCCGAGACAATATCCAAGGTATAACGAAGCCTGCGATACGAAGATTGGCAAGACGCGGTGGAGTGAAGAGAATTTCTGGTTTAATTTACGAAGAGACGAGAGGAGTTTTGAAAGTTTTCCTTGAAAATGTGATACGTGACGCCGTAACGTATACTGAACATGCAAAGAGAAAAACTGTGACAGCAATGGACGTCGTGTACGCTTTGAAGCGGCAGGGCAGAACATTGTACGGTTTTGGAGGTTAATTTAATAAATAAAATAAATTATTATATTTAAAAAGGGAGAAAAGACAAGGTTCTTTTAAGAACCGCAAATTATCTTGGTTTCTAATGTGATTTGAGACGTCAATTGTTTTTTTTCTAAGTTGCGATATGCAATGTTGAAATTTTAATGAGTACGATTTCAGTATAAATTCAAAGTTAATATACTAAATTTCTTATGAACACATGACATTTATAATATACACTTTACGTCCATGGTTTTATCTTAAAAGAATTATGAATATAAAACCTAGTCCTATAAAACATATTAACAGCACTGTGGTGAAAATTAGGTTGTGATTTGTCCGTGGATTGTCTTTTTTTATATACATAAGTAAATACTGTTAATATCCCCTCACCACTTTAACTTAGTATAGTAGTGCCAGGAACTATATAATATCAAGCTTCATAAATCAATAACTCGTACGATTGTTATTTACAACAAGATTTGACACATAAAATGGCGCGAACCAAGCAAACAGCCCGCAAGTCCACCGGCGGGAAGGCGCCAAGAAAACAACTAGCGACAAAAGCTGCTAGAAAAAGCGCTCCAGCGACAGGGGGAGTCAAGAAACCTCATAGGTATAGACCTGGTACGGTCGCGTTAAGGGAAATCAGACGTTATCAGAAGAGCACAGAGTTGCTAATAAGAAAATTACCATTTCAACGACTTGTCAGAGAAATAGCTCAAGATTTTAAGACTGACTTGAGGTTTCAGAGTTCAGCTGTAATGGCGCTGCAAGAAGCAAGTGAAGCTTATCTAGTCGGATTGTTTGAAGATACTAATCTTTGTGCAATTCATGCGAAAAGAGTCACGATAATGCCAAAGGATATTCAGCTTGCAAGAAGAGTGCGTGGGGAGCGCGCTTGATTTGCGTCCATTTTAATAAAAAGTTTAATTAAAGTATTTTAGAATAAATAAATACACTGACAAAGCCCTTTTCAGGGCTGCAAGAAATCTGAGTTTCTATAGAATGTCATGAATCAACAGAGAATAGGAGGCAAGTCCATCTTTAACTAGACCTTAGCATTAGTAAAAAATATGTCGCTAAGTATTTGCTTCATATGTGACTTTGGAACAAATCCGTATTTATGGATCACAAGGAGTTGACAACTTTTCCTTGCATTAAATTGTAATAAAATTCAATTTTTTTTTATTTCATTATTTATTATTTATGAATCAAAATATATTTTTTTTTAAATCTTCATACAATTCACATAAATGCAACCCATCAAGGCGTTGTTGTATTTAATAATTACATTAGTCAAATAAATTAAGATCAGACACAATACAATATAAATAAACGTAAAATAGAGTAGCAATCATTTTTCTTGTGACATATTCTTCATGGTTTTCTTAGGCAGTAAATGTGGGTGTATCGCAGGTATCACGCCGCCCTGCGACACGGTCACTCCGCTTAACATTTGGTTGAGCTCGTCATCATTTCGTATCGCGAAGAGGATGTGCCTTGGGATGACCCTGGACTTCTTGTTTTGCTTAGCAGCTTCCGCAGCCAGCTCCAGAATTTCTGCAGCCAGATACTCGACTGCAGCAGCGAGGTATATCGGAGCTCCACCGCCTATTCTTTGCGCGTAGTTCCCAGATTTTAAGATCTTATGGACCCTACCAACTGGGAATGTAATATTAGCTCGAGCGGAACGTGATTTAGCTTTGCTCTTCGGTTTCATTGTTTTCTCTGTTTGTCAGCATCCTGTGACTAGATATATGATGCTATACTTATGTTATTTAGCGGGGGCTTAAGCGAATGGGGGTTTTATAAAGTGTTACTTCGGTACTTACTTTTTTGTACATAAAACCTTTTTAGAAATAGATCGGATTGTTTTCTATGATGCAAATTGCAATAACATATAAAAACAATACATCAAGGTCGTAATCAATTTTTTTCGTACACTTTTTGTTCGATGTCATTCAATGCGGGTCTATAACGACCGGTGCGCGGGTAGATATCGCCAACATTTTTGGTCTCGATAAATGTTTACTTTCATATACAATTTCAAGCAATGCGTATATATTTTGGATTATAACAAATACTTAAAATTCGTTATGTTTGTATTTCAAATTAAAAGAATTGCAAAATTACTTCGAGATTTATGCATATAACGATAAAATTAGAACTAGAACATATTAAAAATATTTACACGTCATAGCAATTAACACTGTGAACTTATTTACTAATCCAATACATTTTTCCTAAATACTAACACTTCTTAAGCATTTTCGACTTGTATAAATTTGCCAATGTAATATTTTTCTATATAAATTAATTATTCCATATAAAATCTCATAAGATTCAAACATGTTTATCATTTATCTTTTAACCCAGTTCATTCAAGTGCAAAGTATAGAACGTGTTGCAAAATGTTGCGTACCCCTGTCCACAGCTGTACGCGCAGCTGCGAGCGACCGTTACGCGCGGTGAGCACGTGCCTTGCCCTACGCCCTTCGCCCCTCACCCATCGCCCTTCAAATATTATTATTATAAAGTTTTCAAGTGTACTTTGTTTTCATTATAACTACTGTTATTCTTAATCATAAATCTAATTCAAAGTCGACTACTAGTATATTTTATTGATTAGGCCAATTATTTAGCTTGTATTAATCTAAACAAGCTTACGTTTTACCGTCCGACTATCCATACATATGTTTTTAAATTAAAATGTGTAAAATTTAAATTTATAAAATTTTTAACTTAACGTATAACCAATAAGAAAATTGTTAATCCACTTTAATTCAAGTCAACGTCAATGGTTCCCATTGTTCGATCTCATTCAAATTGTGCAAACGTAAGTTCGTCTCTGTATTAAAACCTTTAGTGAAATTTAAACCGTATTCTTATATCGTTAAGGTTTTAAATGCTTTAAAAGTTTTATTTGAAAATGGAATGCGTAGGGCGCGTGCTCGTCTGTTTACTAGGGGTTGCGTTTGCGCCGTTTCCGAAGCCAGTTTTTTTAACGTTATCCCCTGCATCACCTCAGTTGACGGTTAATCGTTGAACAGTTCAGACGGAGTGTATCAAGTTTCAAATTACATAGAATTCGGATTTAATCAGATTTATAGAATTATTTTAAAATTCTTGTGAGCTTTGGCTGTGTCAAATATTTCCCTTGATAGTTGTATCTGTACGTACGTAACAAGTGTAGTTAAACCTGTGTAAACTCAAGTTAAACAAGGATGGAAACCGGACCACCGAGACGGTTCCGCTCCGAGACGCACCCTTAAGACAGGAAGAGGTCAGACGATCGTGTTTATAATTCAAGTCCAGACGTGGGGGAAGAAACCGCTTACAATATGGATTCGCCAAAAATTATTTACAAGTACTACTCAAATCCCGCTTTCTGTTCCCAAAGCGAGGTTGTATTTGCACAAAAGTCATGTGTCACCAAGATGGTAACCCCGAGTCGAAGGATGCCACCGTTAGGAGGGAATTCACCGAGGAAAAACGAAATCGACAACCGAATAGTAAGAACTGATATATCCGATAATCCATTGCGTTTGACACCAGCTGGAAGAATGCGTGATGAACCACCGGAGCTACCACCAAAGCCTCCAAAGTATCAGCGGCAGTTCCAAAGGCAGACGTCATTAATATGTAAGCCGACGAGACAAATCGTACGATGTAGAACACGCAGCGAGGATTTAGAAATGGCACAGCTGAGACAAACACAGAAGAACAAGTATGAAAGAAACGCTGAAAGCGATGATGGCCTAGAAGATAGTAGAATGAAGCATCGATACGAAGTTATCAGAGATATAGATGACGGTTTAGATTATTCACCGACGAAGAAGAGAATAGTTGAAGCGGATGCAAGTGAAATCGAAGAATATAACGTTGACGGACCAGATGAAAATGAAATGAAAGAAATACCAACTGAAATTGTGAAAACTGTTAACGGTAAAACACTTAGGTACGCCATTGTTCCCTCTGATGATGAGGAGCCGAGGAAAATGAATGTAACCTTTTCATCGCCGATCATGTCTCAGAAAAATTTGATCGCAACACAGAAACTACACGAACTGCTCTCGACGCCGAGGAAGTTGAAAAGTTACGCGAGTCAACCTTCCGTGAGGATAACGCCGAATAAACAAACAAGTCCTAATTTGTACGTCGATACTCCGAAGAAATTAATATCAAGCACACCAACCCAAGGAGTTACTCCTTCCAAGTCCTGCGCCAATTTATCAATAATGAGAAGCGGAACATCTCCCATTTCACCGAAAGTTCCACAGAAATTAAATTACGGCTTATCTGATGAATTCCAAAGACAGGACGTGTTTGTTACTAGTTTTAGAGAGAAGAGTCGCGAAAGAAGTTTTGATATGGATAGAAGAGAAGCGAGTAGAGAGAGCAGAAGAAACTACGACAATAGAGGAAGGGATAGTCAAAGAAGAGATAAAAATACCGCAATCATTATGCCTAGGTACGTAAATAAATTCCCGCGTTTTTTAGCTAGCCAGTCTACATTTTAACATTAATAGTCAAGTACAAACGAAAGTATTAATTTGCGACTTTTTGTATCATTTAAAGGCATTTTTTTTACTCAAACGTACATAAAGATATACACATAGTAACTATTAGATGCGCACGCGCACCTTGTCCATAAAAAGGCGCAGATGGCGTCACAGGTGTAAAGGTTTTTGTGAGTTAATAAACTTATTAAGAATTTATCCAAAAGTTACATAGTTACATATTATACAGTCAAATGAGTTTCCTGTTTTTATTTCTTTATTAATTACCAGTTTTATTTTACAGAGTCGCGCCACAGAGCCCGTCGGTATACTCAGAGGAGACTTACAAATCTCTGTCGAGCCTAAAAGCTGTAAACAGTTCGTTTGCATCGCTCACCATTGCCGCACTGATGCTGACGTTGTGCGGAGGCCTGACTACTGGATTGAGCTTCTATATGATGTACACTGTAAGTATTAACGTGTCGTAGCCGATTAACTCATGGCCTTACTGTCGTACTTAGAGTCATTAATGGTTCATTTACTGTCCGTTACTGAACATTTCTACTTACTAGCCACTTTCAGATCGTCACGGAAATAGTCATTAATATGTAGTAAATCTAAAAAAAAAGACTCCGGGAATGTTTAAGTAACCATTTTGACGAATATCGAATACGGTATGGACTTTCTCGTCCTAGACTCAACTATAGTTACATTGATTTAAATATATTTTAAAGAGATAGTTAACTTGGCCAAATTATGCTGAATGGCATTTTATTTTCAGATGGGTCGCCGCTACTACCTCGATTTCGGAGTCCTGTCAGGATTCACGTGTTTCCTGTTAGGAATGCTCGGTTTAAGGTCCCGCAGGAATCAGTTGCTGCCTAACAGAAACTATATATCTGGTAAATATATTATTACTAGTACGTTTCTGACTAGACATATAATTATTTACAAGCAGGTGAACTATGAGAAAATCATTTTATAACCAATGAAATTAGAATGGCGGGAAGCCCGCATACACTCTTCAACCGCTACTTTTTTTAATCAAACTAAGATAATAATGTTGCAAACTTGTAATTCTTTATTTATACAAACACTTTACATTTTTACACTTTTAATTTTAACTATACTTAATTAATTTTTTTTAACAAATTATTTTTATTTTCAGGTTATATTGTGCTGTCATCATTTTCTCTACTCAGTGCTTTCGGTCTTTTAATTTTATTATCTGTTCAACCACTGCCTGGTACAGCTCTCAACGATATTACCTCAGGAGCTGTATGTAGTATAAGTATTATATCATTATGTCTCGCTACAATTGGTGTTTTAGCTTCATATTGTTGTGCAAGAGACCCACCTGACAACAGAGTCGGTACAACGAGGTGGTATTAATACTTTTTGGTGTACATTTTGACATATCAGTTGGCTGTATGACTACAATGACATGTGCCTTTAGCCTTTAGAAAAGAACAGAGTTTCTTATAGTATATTATTGTTCTATCGACCTTGCAACTTGTATTATTATTATTACTAATATGTTTTACAATGGAAAATAATTTGTTTAATAATATAAGGTAAGTATTTATTGCTTATATTAAGTATTAAGAAAAAATATAAAATATCATATTGCATTTAATGTCTTAAGATGCACCAGTGTAATTAACCAAAGAATTGATTTTAATTTACATATATATTCTTGCTTAATTTTCTATAAACTACGACATCATATTTAATTATACTATTATGGAATATGTAATATTTTTAAGTTAATTATCTTTGCACATGTAGAATGTAGATATATTTAAACCACAAAATGCATACATTTGTAATGTAAAAATTGACCGCGAGTTTCGCGCACACACATGTACAAAAACATAATGTCATCCCGCATCCCTCTCATTGTATTACAAAATAAAAAACAGATAACTTCACATTTTGTTTTGTACAAGTGTTTCGACAGTGGAAACTTACAGAGATGAATGTTAAAATGTTTAATAAAGTTAATATCAAGTCTATTTGTTTTTTTTTAAATATACTGCTACTAAATTCGCGCCAACACAGGTCTGGGAATTTTTTTTTTTATGAATTATGGCTTTAGTTAAAACACACACTTTCAAATGGAAAATGGAAGGTTAATAAATTGAAGGGAATGAAGTATACAAATTACGGCACCATATTCCAGCATTAATTTACAGCTTTATGATGCTTTAGCATAACATATGGTATACGGTGGGAGGTTTATTTTATGACCTTGACATCTATATAATAGTGAGCACTAGTGTTATTCATGAAAAGTGAGAAGCTAAAAAGTCTACTGACTTGTAACCACGCTATTAGCCATCATGTGTGTTAGGGTCGCGCCAAATGGTCGTCCCTACCTACCCGTCTTAGTTACGGGCGTGATTATGTTGTTGTTGCTATTAGCTGCCACCGTAATCAAGACTTTAGTTTAAGCATAAAAAGATGAAAGCTTTAGCTAATAGTTAAAAAGAACATATTTTTTGGATCTGAAAGGAATGTTCTAGAAGTCTGCAGGTAAAGGAACGCAAAACTATTTAGACATCTAAACGTCACATTAAATCTAATGTCATTTTGTCAATTCTAATTATTTTATAGATGTTATTGAGTGGATTGAATTATTGTTCTAGTTTGATAACATAATTAAAAGTGTTTGATGACATGTTGTTATTGAAGTATTAAGTACATGATGCGTAAACAATTGTTGTTTTAATAACTTTACTAGTCTTTTAATAAGTGATTGTGAAAACAGTTATGCTTTTCCTTTAATAACAAATAATTAAAGTAAGTCTTTGTTTGCATCTCATTACAAATTTTATGTATTGCACTATACTTTCCTTTATCGAATGTAAACTGGACTTTTATTATTAGATATGTTTGTGTTCTAGAAATCAGAAAATATGTCCCAAAGAAAAATACTAATTAAATTTTTTTTCATGCAGAAATATATGTTTGTTAGATAAATAACCTTGTTATCACTAACTACGCGTATTGCATTATACATTTAATTTGTTTGAAACTTATTTTTAGTAAATCTAATTGCTTTGTTTTCTGAATGAAGCTGAACCATTAAAGCTAGCCTCAACCTTTATATAATTTTATTGCGAATTGGTTAATCCACCATTTCGTAAAATGTCAAGGCTTTCATTTTAAAATAGTTAGTTAGTGGCCATAAACATGTTTTAAGTGTATTATTGACTTTTTAATCTGATAAGGCTCTAGTTATTTGCTTAGATAAAGGAACTTCTGTAAATAAATTGCAATTGTAAATAATCACATTTATAAAGCTATATATTTGTTGTAATTTACTTTTGTACTGTAAATTACATTTTACATAAATTCATTAAACCAAATTATAGATGAATAAATGTAAAATATTATTAAAACTAATTAAATTTATTTTTATAAATCCATTGTTTATTTGTATACAATGATAATGAGTGAAAGATAACAGCAGACACAACAATAAAGTTTAAAGGCATTGTCTTTCACACATTTCATAATAATATAATTAACAATTAGTATTTGGAATATAATTAAGATATATTACAGGGTCACAATGGCTGACCATCACATCAGGGAAGCGGCAGAATCTCTATTGGAGAGTGTCTCCAATCCACGTTATAGAACTGTTTGTGAGTATTTTTAAAGACAGATTAATTTGACCTGTGAAAACCTAAAAATTGTTGAATAGATGTAATGAAACTTTTTGATTTGTTGAACAGTTCACTTTTGGCCAGAGTAAAGAATCCTTTGCTTTCTGCATCACAAAATGTTTAGCTACTATTCTATAACTAATAAACATATTTGCCTATTCCAGCTCAAACACATTCAGTGAACTTAACAACGGAGGACCTGCTTGCCGGGTACCGACCATACGGCAGGATGTCATCTGTGCGAAGGTTCTTCTGTCTGTTTGTCACATTCGATCTCCTTTTTACAAGTCTCATGTGGCTGATATGTGTTATGGTAAGTTTAAACGGATATATTTTAAGTTTTATATTCATCACCCTAATGTAATATGCTTCCGCAAAAGTTAACTGTGTGAGAATTGCATATTGGGTTAAAATCAATTATATGCGCAATATATCAACAGTTCCTCTGTTATTGATCATCTTGGCGTTCCCGAAGGTCATTTGCACCTTCTCTTATAAAACAATTTATATACAATTTTTTCTTTTTTGTTTTCAGATGAAAGGCGAGTCGTTAGTGCTTATATTCAACAGAGAAATAGTACAATACAGTATAAAGACATCTCTATTTGATGTAGTCCTGGTAGCAATATTAAGGTTTCTGCTGCTTATACTGTTTTATGCAGCGTTGTATATTAATAATTGGAGTGTTATTGCTGTAAGTATTGTCTTTCATCATCATCACCAGAATTTATCGATTCATTGCTTGACAAAACCGTTTTATTACCGCAATTTTTTGTGCCCCTGGTTGTTCTGTGGACTGATCTTTTTCTTTCCCGGAGCCACCATCCTGTCACATACTTAGTGCACCAGCCTGTCTCCTTCTTAGTCCACCATCCTGTCACCTTCTTAGTCCACCATCCTGTCACCTGCTTAGTCCACCATCCTGTTACCCTCTTAGCCCACCATCCTGTCGCTACCTTAGTCCACCATCCTGTCGCTACCTTAGTCCACCATCCTGTCGCTTTCTTAGACCACCATCCTTTCACCTGCTTAGTCCACCGATTGTAAACATTGCTGTAAACAACAAAATATTTGTTTGTTTTTTTGGGTAAAGTCAAAAACTATGGAATAATTATTTTAGGTTTATTCTTTAGTGAAAATAGTTTTTATGCATGAATAAACAAGATATGTATATAGGTAGAAAGTTGGTGCTTTAATTGTTTGAGTACATAGCAACAATATGTGATTGATATAAAATATTTTATCAGAATAACATGTTTGTACAACTGCGCTGTTTAAATTTATAATGTAAACAATATGATTCATTTTTATATTGCTTGGATTAATTTATTTTTAAACTGTGTCAACTTTATATCTAACACTAGTAGTTGTCTGTGACTTTGTCAGCACATAATAAAAAAAAACAGCCTGTAATTGCCTGCATGCATCCAATACTTTTCTCAGCGGTTCCGAAGAGTATTTGAAACAAATGTGGTTTTGCGGACAGTCGGACAGACTAAAATTTTACTAATTTTTATTAGTGACTCTTTTGTTCTTCTCGATGTATACATACAGACATAAAATTTGTAATTTTTTTTTTATATTACAATTTTACATTACATATTTTTTATATGTAAAGATTTGAAATTCGGGAAAAAGAAGAATTGCAAACCTTAAGTGGCGATAGGCCGGCCATATTGCCCGCAGAATGGACGATCGATGGGGCCGGAAATTTCTAGAGTGGTGGCCACGGACAGGTCGACGCAGCGTGGGCAGGCCTCCCGCAAGATGGACCGATGACCTGGTCAAGGATGCGGGAGCGTCCTGGATGCAGGTAGCACTGGACCAGTCATCGTGGCTATCTTTGGGGGAGGCCTATGCCCAGCAGTGGGCGACTTACGGCTGCGAAAGAAAGGTGTAAAGATTATGTTAAAATGTTTGATTTTGTTTCAGCTGTCGACTGGTGGGACGTGTGCCTTTTTAATAGCCAAAGTATTCGTTTTTGATGTAAGTATGAGGTAAATAACTCACATTTTAAATCATACTAATATGAAATCTGAATGTTTGTATAGATGTTTGTTACGATATAACTCCAAAACGGTTCAATGGATTTCTATGTAATTTGACATAGATGTAGAGCATAGTCTGGAAGAAGACATAGGCTACTTATTAAGTTTTTTTTAATATCGCACGTAATATTTTTAATATAATTACAGTGGCCGAATGCATCACAGCCGGTGTACCAAGTATTCCTCATCCTGACATCGTTCACACTGGCTTGGGGTGAGGCCTGGTTCTTAGACTTCAGGGTGCTGCCGCTGGAGATGGGAGCCAGCAGTGAGTATTTTTTTATTTTAATTTCCAATAATTATAGACGGTAGTAACATTTTTTGCATGACTGGACTTCTCGTGAAATACGAACACCACACAGAAGACAGGCCTCAATAGAAGTAATTCCCTGTACAGTCTGATGAATGTGCGTCCCGGAGGCCTAATTTTAGACATCTTTAGAAGAGATGTGATGGATGAGGGGATGCTTAGGAAGGGGAAATATTATTTTTCTGTGTTTCCTCCGTCAATTAATCCGTCATTACTAATGTCTATCTTACTAATATTATAAATGCGAACGTTTGGATGTATGGATGGATTGATGTTTGAAGGTATCTCCGGAACGACTGAACGGATCTAGATGAAATTAAGCATAAATGTGGAACATACTCTGGTAGAATATATAGGCTACTACTTAAGTTTTTTTTAATTCCGCGTGGACGGAGTCGCGGGCAACAGCTAGTAATATTATAAATGCGAATGTTTAGATAGATGGATGGATGTTTGTTTGAAGATATCTCCAGAACGATTGCATGGATTTCGCTGAAATTTGACATAGATATAGAACATAGTCTGGAAAAACAGACAACTAATTAAGTTTTTTTTTAAGTTCGCATATTAGAATATATTAGTTTTAAAGATTGACGGTTTCCTTGTGTATGAAGGTTTTAATTTATTTCCAAGGTCATCGACCGACAGTATCAGAGCGGACACCATTGCTGCATCCAGTGAGACCTGCAGCACCTCACTCTACATATGGAGAGTCAACTGTGAACTGGTTCTCACCGGTGGAGACTCCTGAAGCCAGTCCTAGACCTAGACTACCTGGAGAACAAGTCATATTGACACAGGAGTTGGTGAGTTAACCAAATACGAGCTTTTGCAGGTGACTTTGTTCGCGTTTAAAAAAAGTAAGTAGCCTATGTACGTTTCATACGTTCAATCGTATTTGGTTTTTCGTAATATCCATCCATCCAAACTGTCCAATTTAATTAGTATTAAGAAGAAAATCCGACAGTGTGCCGGTGTACTGGCACAACACTAGCCTTACAATATTAACATTTATGTCCCCTCACTATTCATTTTGACACTTGACTTTGTAACGAAAGCACGTCATTCGCGTCAAAGGATTCTAACTAATACTGTCTAAAATTAGTAAGATATCTATATTTTGGATAGATTTTATTAAAATTGATAATAGCGCCATCTAGTTAAAGAAGAAATACTTTAAAAAAAATTACATTTTAAGCTATTTTTTACAAATTCTAAAAGAAATGGAAAACGGAATGTTTTGTGGAAAATCAAGCCTTACGAACTATCTTACCATACTGTCTACCCCTCACTTTGAAATCGTTTGTTTTACATTCCTTTACTGTAGATTTTTTTATTAAATCTTTACTAAGTAACTTATTAGTAGTTATTATTATACTCTGATAGTGTAAATAGCCAGACAAAGACTTGAAACAAAAACTACAGTATACCCGTATTTACGACCAATCCGGTAATAATAACGAAGTAACGGCTCGAGTCGAGGTTCCTGAGGCCCTCGAGCTTAGTTACTTTTAAACGAGGTTCAGGCTAAGCGTCATCTACGCTCGGCCACCATAAGCCCGGTGAAGCTGTAAATGCCACTTCAAGGCAAACAGTGACTCAGTCACAAAAAAAAACGTTTTTACGAATATATATTTTTTTCTACAAAAGTATCAAATATTTCTTATCTATGCATTTATCTCGTAATTACAAGATTAAACATAATTTATCACTTAAAATGATATGATTAATACAATGTTGCATATTATTTTACCTATTTTACATAATTTGTTAAGATTTACATATTATTTTAGACTTAATTTTGATATTACTTCCTAGTCGTCTACTTATATTACACGTATGATATCTGTCACTTTTATTTGGGAAAAAACAAATGTTTCGGTAATGGTAATCCAAAGTAATCGAGTTGAGTGTTATGTTATGGTTTTACTAGCTATCGCCCGCGTCTCCGTTCGCGCGGAATTAAAAAACAAAGTAGCCTATGTGTTCTTCCAGACTATGTTCTATATGTATGCCAAATTTCATTAAGATCTGTTAAGCCGTTCTGGAGATACATTCAAACAAACATCCATCCATCATTTATTTCATTTTTATATGGATGTTTGTTTGAAGGTATCTCCAGAACAGCTGAACGAATCGCGATGAAATTTGAAATACGTATAAAAAGGTCTGGAAGAACACATAGGCTACTTATGTTTTTTTTTTTGCGCGGACACTGTGACTGCTACTTAGGCATATATGACCCAATTGATTTGCGATCATGCGAGGTATATTGAGGTCAATTGGTTAACAATCAGCTTCAATAAGCCATACCGCACGTGGATAAGCCATTTATTTCAAACTAATGTCGGCTCCTTTGAGATTCAATTAACTTACGTCAAGTTCACAATAATAAGGAATAATTATTTCGAACCTGAGAATCATTCATCAGAGAGAAATTTGAGAAAATGACTTTAAAATTATATTAAATGGTGGTTTAAGGAAACATTACTGACTCTGAGTTGTAACATCTTAAGATTTTTTTATAAGACAAGTGGGTAAATCAGTAGCAGTAAAAAGTATCGATAGCGATTTTTCTCTTTGTTCAGAGCCTAGCAAGAATACTCTTGTGTTCGTTTTTATAACGTCATCGACAGAATCTTTATTAAATTTTGCATAAAATACGCTAGCAAATGTTGTGTAAATTTTAACATTTTTTGTCAATAACTTAAAGCGTCAATAGCCTAATGGTTAAGGGTACGGATTTCCGATTACGAGGTCGGGGGTTCGAATACCGCCATTAGACAATTGTAAACCATATCCTAGCACAAGTCTAGAGCTTAATTGGAATGTTACAAGAAATATTAGTAAATTTACAAAAATCTACTAATATTTTACAAAAAAAAATAACGTTACGAAAGCGTGAGTCGCAAATATTCGTGATAGACTCCCTGTTAAATTTTTGTTTGTCCATACTGTGGATATATTAAGAAGTATAATCGCTTATTACAATATCGTCCTTGGCTATTCCATATCGTTGTTATTCAGTCATTAGTCCGTTTGAATACTGTTTAATTGTCCGTGAAGTATTACCAAAAACATAATATTTCAAGTTCCCTAAGCAAAACAATCGAAATAAAAATACGTTGGTATGTTTGATTCGTTGAATACAGGATGTATCATTAATATTACGAATTTGACACCACACTGTAGTGTGACAAACTAATCTGGCCCGGTAAGTGTGGTTGTTATTTAGTTCTACCAGAAAATATATTATGACATGACAGCTACAGTTCAACAATCGTTTGACTTATGCTCGGCGCCCTGGGCGGTCGGCCTTGGGCATAAGGAGGCGCCGTAGGCGTCAGCGTCTGATATAAAGGACTGCGGTACACGATCTGAAAAATGTTAAAACCGGTCTTGTCGACAATCGTATATTGTTAGGTTGATAATAAGCTATCGTAATTCCGTTGCACTTATGTCCACCGGGTTAGATAAATTTGTCATACTGTATTCAAATGAATGTTGTTAATAAGCTATCTTGTGTATATCACCTGACGTTCTAATAATGAAGGTTGAAAGACTAAGATGGTATTAAAATGAATACCTTTAATATATGCCAGTTGTCATTCTCAAGTCCAATATGAGGGTATCATATCTTATTACAACAATACAGCTAATGAGATTATGAACCTCCTGTATATATATATACAAATAAATATACACATACAGTATGCTGTATGTCTGACAATTTTTATATCTTATACGTACTATAGGATGATTAAAAAACGTAAGCTTCGCAGATCAAAATCCCAGTTTAAAACATAATGTTATCTCTGTTTTGTCAAAGATGAAAGACAAGGACGATATGTTTTATACAGAGATTTTGTCTCAAAAACCAACGATTAACTCGAACTTAATGCATTAAACTTAACTTAAGTATCCACTAACTAAACGCTTTCACAATAACATAACATCCCTTTTATTCGCTACAAAAAAAGATAAAATAAGCAACGTATCTAATATTCCAAGCCATTGCTTCCTAAGTGTTATTTTTCTTGAAAAATAATCAAGTAGTGAAAGTCAGGAAGCGCAACTAGTGTATACCAGATGGCATTGCATTGAGACATAACTTTAACTTGAAGAATCATTAACGTAATGAAGCCTTCAACGCCCGCGTAATACCTGCACGAGCAAACCGTCAGCTGAAGTAACTAAACACAAGTCTCTTCGTAATGAAAACTCACGTTAAACTTTACAATTTCTTTAACTACTATTTGTTTAGTGATAGATGTTTGTCGTCACTTTTACCAATTGGCAAATGAAAATGTATATCCAATTTAAATTTGTTTAGTCTGAATAACTATGGATATTTTAGATTTAAATGAATATTGTAAAATCGTTAAAAATATAGAAAGTAAACCGGTCTAACCGCACTAGCGGAGAAGGTGGAATAGCGTCTATAAACAACTATGGGTTTTTAAAAGTCGCAATAACAACATGTAAATAAAACTCATATTTCTTCTACTATTTCAAACGTCTTCAGTCTTCTTACTTCTTTAGATTTCTCTCATGTATTAAATAAACCCCTGAGCCACCTACGCTCTTAATTGGCTCAGGGGTTAAGCACTTGACTTGCAATCTGCAGTCCTGGGTTTGAATCCCACCATGTACTTTTCGATTACATATGTACATTTATCCGACGTTCTTACGGTGAAGGAAAACATGGTGATGCCACCTGCACATATCTGAGAAGAAATTCAAAGATATGCGTGAAGTCAACCCGCACTTGGCCAGCGTAGTTGACTATGGCCTAATCACCCCTAACTTAGGGTAGGCTCCGAGCCCCTCGGTGGGGACGTATAGTGAGCTGATGATGATGATTAAATAAATAAGACTTGTAAACTTCATGGACTCTAAATGTGTCTTTACTTTTAAAAAATCGCAATCAAAAACTAATGAAATCACATGTACAGTATAATAACTAAACTTATATCACGTTTTCTTTATTTTCTAAGGATAAAGATAATGCGTTTATTAAGATAAAGTTTTATCAATATTAATAAACTCATTTTATAAACAATAACTGTACATCGATAATTACTGCCTACTTTATCTGCAATTTGACGTAGATTAAAATTTAAACAGTCGCAAATAATAGCGCGTAATGACGTATTTCGCGCGTAAAAAGTGAAGTTATTTTTTTTAATGAAATGTAAGCTCAAAAAACCTATTTAGTTTTTTTTTAATTTTATGGCAATCCTGTTTGCCAGTGATATAAATACTTTTTTTTATTAGTAATACTCTTTGCTAAATTTTATAAAGCAACTAACTGTCGCCCGCGATTTCATCCGCGTGGAATTAAAAAAAACTTAATTGTTATAGCCTATGTATTGTTCCAGAATAGTCTGGAATAATACCATAGGGTATTATCTTCAAAAAGCGAGATCTAGACAGCCGTTCTGGAGACACCTAATAATCATCCATCCATCCAAACAATCGCATTTATAATATTAGTAAGATTGTATCAACAACTATTAGGCCGTTAATCAAATATTGTGTTGAATCTAATCTTAATTATTATTAACCAACATTAACTTAATGTACAGAAAAATATATATTAAAACTGTTTACGACTGTACACTAATAAGATTATTATCTGTCTGTTTCATAATTGGCCAAGTCGAAATATTAGATTGAAGACAAAGACTGCCAGTAGCGAACTTCTATTCGTAACGAACGGACATGTGTAACAACTAAACGAATTCATATTAATTCTAATATTCGTAGTTCTTTTTTATTAAAAGTGTAACTCATTAAATACATTTAAAAATAAATAAAATATTAAACAACTAGCTGTCTCAAAACTTTGTCCGCGTGGATTAAAAAAAAACTTAATTAGTTTTACTCAACCAGACCAGATAAGTCTGTTCAGACGTTCTCGAGTTACAGCGAGAGTGACGAACAGAAATTAATTTTTATATATTAAACAATGGAAGGAGTATTAAAAGAAAGGGCAAATAAAATTACGGAAGAAGAATTTAAAAAGAATTTAAATGAGTTAGAGAATGTGGAAACTCAAGAGGAGATGGAAAAGAAGTTGGATAATTTAATGAAGGGGGGTTTCTTTTTGACTAATTGGATGAAAAGTTTGTTCAACAAGAGTAGTAATGAAGAATTTAAAGCTGTTTGGTTGTCTGTAAGTATTGTTTGTAAGAAAATCCGACACTGTGCCGGTGTATCGGCGCAACATTAGCCTTACTAAAATGTCAACGTTTATGTCCCCTCACTAATCATTCCGACACTTGACTTGGTAACGAAAGCACGTCATTCGCGTCAAAGGATTCTAACTAATAATGTCTAAAATATATTTTAATTTCGAAAGTCTGAGGTTTTATTCCGTGTATAAATAATTTAACGGAATCTTGTCGTAAACGAGAATGCTTAAGTAGTTTTTTGTTTAAATTATAATAAATAAACGGATATTCAAATCACAAAAGTTTGTATTAAAAGCGATAATAATGTTCACAATAAATAGTACGCATAGCTTTTTAAAATGATATTAGTATCGGTGTTCTATATTTAGAACAGAGTTAGAGATATTATAAAAAAAAAGAAACCATCTCATACCACGGAATCTTACAGTTTTTTGGGTTATTCCAAACCCTAACTTTGAGGTAAATCTCATCGATATAAGTTCATTAATTCTGAAGTTACGTGGTTACTACGTTTATCCAAACATTCGTATTTATAATTAACAAGTTGTTGCCCTTAACACCGTCCGCGCGGTATTAAAATAAATAATAATTAGTAGCCTATGTGCTCTTCAATACTATGATCTACATCTGTGCCAAATTTCATCGAGATCCATTGTACTGTACTAGAGATATCTTCAAACAAACGTCCATACATCCATCCGAACATTCGCATTATAATTTTAGTAAGATTAACTTGAAAACAAACATAACGTTACAACAAGCATGACACGAAATAAATTGTATTTATAACAAAGTCTATTGTCTGAATAAAGTACAAAACATATCACTGACTCACGTATCTAAAACAAGTCGCTATCGTTTACTGCACTACGAACATAACTGATAAATGAAAATCCTACTAATATTATAAATGCGAATGTTTAGATGCTTGTTTGTTTGTAGGTATCTACAGAACCGCTGCATGGGTCTCGCTTAAATTTATCATAGATTTAGAACATAGTCTGGAAGAACATATAAGTTTTTTTTCCTGCACGTACGATGTCGCGTACGATAACCAGTAGTTTATAACTAATATGTAATTTGTAATTGCCCAAATATTTGTCCAAAGTTGTTACCTGTTTAAAAATTAAATGGGAAGAAAACTTTTTATAGTAGTATCAGCAGTGGAAACCCACTGTTAGAGGAAAAACTTAAAGAAAAGAAAGCGAACTGAATTAGATATAGCTTTGTTCTTTTTTCTCTCTTTCCATCATCATATCTAATACTTACTTACTAATATTATAAATGCGAATGCTTAGATGGATGGATGTTTGAAGGTATCTCCAGAACGGCTCAACGAATCTCGCTGGTATTTGGTATAATAGTAAATAGTCTGGAAGAACACATAGGCTACTTTTTAAAGTTTCTTTTTTAATTCCGCGCAGACGGAATCTAGAGAGTTAATTTCTTAATGTCTATGGCACGTACGTATATCTATGATTCACATTTTTTTTCTTTGTAAACAGATAGATGAATACAAGCAGCAAGCGGAAGAGAGTCTGCAAACATCATGGCGCATCCTCAATCTGCCGACATGGAGGCTGGAGAAACGAGGCTCCCATCGCGGTGACATAGTCGAGTCAGTCAATGTAGACCAACTGGGCAAAGTCTACAGGTTCACGGTAAGTTTGACTTGTAAATTAAGAAATGTCAAATTTAAAACATGGCCGCCATTACTATATGCATTTTCAGGGTATCGTCGATTGTCCGGCAAAGTTCCTGTATGAAGAGTTCAAAAACAATATGGCCAAGTTGCCGGAGTGGAACCCTACTATATTGAAGACTGAATTTATTAAGGTAAGACTTAAGTTGATTTAGACATAAGGTTTACTAATCAAGATTTCATTCTATCATTTTGATTCTCGCGACTGTTATGAACTTAATATAACCAGTTACGTTTATTTTTTAACTATTTCGTTAAAATGTATTTAAATTTACGTTAGTATTCTTTGTTTCATTTCCATTGGCATCACTGTGCCTCTTATACAAATCGCAATTAGGGAACGTACCCATACTACGTGATTCGTTTAGGGGGGGGGGGGGNNNNGGGGAGCGGAGTCTTTAAAATACTACTGTCAGTCACAGGAGCTCAGATTTTAGTTACGTAGTCGTTACTTGTTTTTTTTTTCATAATAAACAATTCACTAGTAATTTAAGAATGCATGGAGTCTTATGCTCTAAAGAAGAGTATGAGCCAAATTTATTCTTTTTCAATTTTTACCTGTGAAATGATTAAAAATCATAATTATGAATTACTACATAAACACTAAAGAGGGGTTCTTGGCATGTACTACGAGTGGTCACCGAGGGGAGGAAGGGGTCGAAAAAAATAAAAAAATAGGTGACGTAGTATGGGTATGTTCCCTTACGTGTAATCGCTTAGTGGAAAAGGAGTCTAACAGTATATCTCCACTTCCCCTTCCGAAGAAGGTTAATGACTCATCCTACATCTGACTTATTGACCCTTCGCAAATCATAAGTCACGTTTGATAAGAAATTGTGCTATAACGTACTATCGTATATGGGTAACCTATTAATACAAACCATATACGTAGTTCCTTGTAAAATTTAATATCGCACCAAACTATAATTTGCTGGTATTAAATTTAATCGAGAGCGTCGGTGGCTCAAGGGGTCAAGCACTTGACTTGCAATCTGCAGGACCTGGGTTTGAATCCCGCCATGTACTAATATGTTTTTCTATATCCGATTTTTATATGTATATTTTTTATCCGACGTTCTTACGGTGAAGGAAAACATCGTGATGCTGCACATATCTGAGCAGAAATTCAATGTGTGAAGTTAACCAACCCGCACTTGGCCATCGTGGTTGAGTATGACCTAATCACCCTCAACTTAGGGTAGGCTCTGAGGCCCTCGGTGGGGACGTATAGTGAGCTGATGATGAAATGTAATCATGGGATTCCACTGTTAAAATATCCCTGCAAAACATATTATGGTTTTTCAGAGAAAATAAGACACATTACAATGTTTTTCTATGAGTTATTCTGTATTAAAAACTTCATATCTTACTAATATTATAAATGCGAATGTTTAGATGGATGAATGGATGTTTGTTTGAACTTATCTCCAGAACGGCTGCATGGATCTCGCTGAAATTCGGCATAAATGTATACTATAATCTGGAAGAACACATAGGTCACTAAAGTTTTTTTAATTCTGCGCAGACGGAGTCGCGGGCGACAGCTAGTCAGTAAAAATGTTGACCTCTCTGTGTGCAGGAGATAGGTCCAGGAGTGGATCTATCATACCAGGTGACAGCGGGTGGAGGGCGCGGCATCATCGCGCCGCGTGACTTCGTGATCCTGCGGCGCACCGCGGCGTTGTCGCGTGATGGCCGCGTCACCGACACGGAGCCCTACTGCTACATGACCAGTGGGATTAGTGTGCAGGTGCCCGGGTACCCGCCACAGAAGGATATGGTCAGGTAAATATTATGTCACATAATTTAAATTACACTTTGTTCGCGTTGTTTAGTGAGTTGTGACGTCATAGTTTTCAAATCCTACTAATAATCACCATCTCAAAGGCCGGCAACGCATCTGCAATTCTGGTATTGCTGATGTCCATGGGCGTTGTTGAACACCTCGGTGTTCCCGCTGCTCGTTTGCCCCCTTCTGTTATAAAAAATATATAAATGCGAATGTATGGATGTATGGATGGATGATTGTTAGAAGGTATCTCCAGGACGGCTGGATGGATTTATATGATATTTGTCATAGATGTAGAACATAGTCTGGAAGAACATATTACTAATTATTTTTTTTTAATTCCGAGCTTACGAAGTCGCGGGCAAATATTTTCAATGTCGAAGTAAAAAGAAAATTGTAATTTTTAATCGTTCACGTATTGATATTAAGTTCGACTTATATCTGCTTATTATGTTTCTCTTAATAATATAAGTAAGGTATTATATCATTTTTAATCCCTTATTAAGGTTAAATAGATTTTAATATAGATATATATATATATTATCATAAAGACGTCAAGTAATCTTTGATTATCAAATACATTGTTGCCAAGTTATTTTAAAAAATGCACTGAAATTAATCAGTTACACACAATTAGTAATGTTTGATTAAATGTACTAGAATACGAGGAATCTATCTTTATATATATAATTCTTCTGTGCGTGTGTATGTCACTGAACTTCTCTCAAACGACTGGACCGATTTTGATGAAATTTTTTGTGTGTGTTCAAGCGGATCTGGGAATGGTTTAGATTCACAATTTTCATCAAATATTAACTTCGTATTAATTTATTCAAATTAAAGACGTGTAGACAGGACGACGTCTGTCGGGTCCGCTAGTATGTTATATATAAAAGAAAGTCGTGTTAGTTACACTATTTATAACTCAAGAACGGCTTTACTGATATGCCTGAAAATTGGTGAGGAGGTAGCTTAGAGCCAGGAGACGGACAAAGGATACTATTTATTCATTTTTTTTTCGAATAAACGCCACTCCGGTCACCGGTGATCGGATCTCTGTCTGCATTTAAGCTTTGCTTACCTGTGACCTTAAGAAGTTTGTTTATAATATCTGCGAAACCCAGCTTCTGATTGAACCCTTAACTAGATATATTTTGTAGCATCGACAGTAGGCGCCTATTTCCAGCGAAAAGTTTTTTTGTGTTTTTTTCTATTTCTACTATAGCGTTTAACGTGTTAACCCCTGAGTCAATACGCATCTTTTGATCTAGAAATTTAACCTTTACAGAGGTCATAATAAAGTTGGCAGCTGGGTGATGAAGCCTAAATCAACACAGACTTCTGGTGGAAAGATAGAGGAGTGTACGATATTCCATTGGTTAATGTGTTGTGATCTTAAAGGTAAGATTTTATCTAAGAAAACTTTGTATATATTAAAAAACTAACTTTTATTACTTAAAAAAGATAACTTAATTATTCCTAATTATAATTTTATAAAGCATTAAACTATTATATTAACGATATTGAATAAAGTTATTTAAATATGTATAAAATGTCTAATAAATTCATATAATATAAAATAATTAGCTGTCGCCCGCGACTCCGTCTGTGTAGAATTAAAAATAATTTAGTAGCATATATTTAAAAGCTTCAATAGCATAATGGTTAAGAGATTTCCGATCACGAGGTCGGGGGTTAGAATCCCGCCATTCGACTATTGTCGTAAACCATATCTTAGCACAAACTTAGAGCTTATTTGGAATGGTTAAAGAAATATTAGTAAATTTACACGAAAATCTGATAATATTTTAAAACAAAAAAAAATGTTCTTCCAGACTATGTTCTACATCTATGTCAACTTTCAGTGAAAATCCATGCAGCTGTTCTGAAGATACTTTCCAACAAACATCTATCCATCCAAACTTTCTTATCTTAGTAACATTATAAATGCGAATGTATGTAGGAAGAAAATCCGACACTATGCCGGTGTACTGGCGCAGCGCCTTACTAAGGTGTCGATGTTTATGTCCCCTCACTATTCTGACACGACTTGGTAACGAAAGCACGACATTCGCGTCAAATAATTCTAACTAATGTCTAAAAGTATGGATGGATGTTTGTTTGAAGATATCTCCAGAACAGCTGCATGGATCTCGATGAAATTTGACATACATATAGAACATAGTCTCGAAGAACACATAAGCTACAATTTTTTTTTACAGCTACAAATATAAATAATATTTAAAAAGAAATTAAAGTTTATTAGAATTTTTAATATTTTTCAGGTAAAATTCCCCAGTTCGTGTTAGACGCGGCTTTCGCTACAGTTATGTTGGATTACATCGTCCATGTGAGGAAATTCGCAGCTGAATCTAAAGCTAAGGGTCTCTTCTAACTACAATTAGCTCAATTATATGGTGCTTTATACATATTGGCTAGATTCAACCTGCGTACAATAAGATAAATATAACAGTGGGTTTCCATTGCTATGATTGCAGTGAAAACTTATAAATTAAGAATGTGCAAATTATAAATGCGTTGATTTCATTGGTAATAAATATATTATTCAACGCACAAAAAAATATAAAAAAATATTGGTTTTTAAAAAATAATGTACTATAGCAAAAAATATGGATCGTCCATTAATCGTCTTTTTTAGCAAGTTTTTGAACTTCTCTCGTCTCTTTGGTGAGATTTTAGACTACCTAAAATCACGTGTATTTTTAGGGTTCCGTACCTCATAGGAAAATAACGGAACCCTTATACGATCACTTTGTTGCCAATCCGTATATCTGTCAAGACCACTTTATCAAAAGCGCGTGAAGATATCAAGCTGGAATTTATTTTAGTACAAATTAAATTTGTGATTTTCCAAATATTTAACAAAACTTATTCATTAAATTAACATCAGCAATGAAAAATATACGTTATATATTATTTTAAACCCAAAAACCAACGAAAATCACGAAATATCACGAGGATTTCTTCCGAACCCCTCCCCCCCCCTACCCATTTTAAACCTTACGTAATCAATGGACGATCTAATCGTATACTAATATAATATTGATTTAAATATATATAATTGAAAAATTAACAAAACTACAAAAGAATTAATGAATTACATTGATCTGATAAAGTACATATTCCTAAGTCAATGCCATGACATGCATTTTAGAGCTCCTAGATTCTAGACCACAGTAATTAAGTCTGCTAGATTACATCTAAACATATCTACGTATATACCGTTAATTTCCACCACCGAGATGTTTCTACAGAGTGTCCTGTGATGACGTGTACAAAGGAATACCACAGATTCTTGTGGCTGTGGCCGCTGGACAAATTAAAATTTGACCAGAGAAAAAGTCATGTAAATTAAATTTTCTTACTCTTAAGCTATTCTTTTCTCGAAAGCGTCGGTGGCTCAGGCTTCAAGCACTTGATTTGCAATCTGCAGGTCCTGGGTTCGAATCCCGCCATCTACCAATGTGTTTTTCTATTTCTGATTTACATATGTACATTTATCTGACGTTCTTAAAGTGAAGGAAAACATTGTGATACTGCAAATATCTGAGAAGAAATTCAAAGATATGCGTGAAGTCAACCCGCACTTGACCAGCGTGGTTGACTATGGCCTAATCACCCTTAACTTAGGGTAGGCTCCGAGCCCCTCAGTGGGGACATATAGTGAGCTGATGATGATGAAATTTTCCAACAAAAAAATTGGCGGAAATTTTGCAGGACGATTGCAAAAATGTTTGCGCGCCCCCTGTAGGTTTTATGACGAAGCACTATTTTACAAAAAGGTGTAGTTTGTGCAACAAAAACTGTGTTTTTAATATGAATAAAATCTATATAAGACTTTTTGAGATATTTAAATAAATTTGCAAACTTTAATCCTTATTGTGTAGCATATCATACATATAACTTTATAAAAATATACGAACACCATAAAACAATTTTTAACTTAGGTTTTTTGTTTTTTTTCTTTTCTTCAAAAAGAAATCTTGCCACAATAAGAGTTAAAGCCATCTAGCGGCTAAACGGAGCAACTTTGGATAAAGGTAAGTTGGGTTACATCGTCATATATTTAACCAAGGAATCTGTGGTATTCCGTTGTACACGTCATTCCCGGACACCCTGTATAATCAAATACATATATTCCGATCTTTATTAGATCTATAGTTGGACCATTTCATTATTTTAATAGGCAACATTTATAGAACATTTGGGCAACACCAAAATTAATTAAAAAAAAATTAAGTTAATAAATATATATTTATAATTTAAGTCTACGCAAAGTTAAATAAGTTAATAAAGGGAACATTTAACTTTGTAATAATGAATAAGTTTTTAAAATCACCAGATATTTTTCATACAATTATGTTGTGATGAAAATTTCACTTATAAAGTAAAAAAAAACATTTTTAAATTTTATTTCTATTTATCTACAATTCATTATATATTTTGGATTTTTATAACTATGTTTATTTGTAAAAAAAAAACCTAAATGAGCTATAAAAGTATAATAACGACCAAAAAAAGTAGTTTATTTAAATTTCTTTTTCATCACAAACATTTCTTTTATTGTTTTATTTAAATTTCTTTCCTTTCAAATATCTTTTTGGTTCTATCTTTTCATTTCTTTAACAAATTCAATTTTTTTTAAATATTTAATAAGGTTTCAGAAATTCACGTATATGGTATTAACTGTGGGTTTCTGAGACCAAAATACCCGTTTAAATATTGTTATCTCTGTTTTGTCAAAGATAATGACAGGGATGACGATATATTTTATACAGAGATTTTAGTCTCAGAAATCATCAATTAAAAGCTATTGCTATTATAAGGTTAATAAAAGAATTTATTTATAATCTTGGTGATGAATCTGTGATTGCTTATAGCAGATTAAACAGTCGAGGACGTTTATTCCCTACCCATTTATAAGCTTAATTAAAGCTCTAAAGGTGCCAGTTTGTTTTATAACATTCAATCGATTGCACTATTCAAGTTTCCGGGTTTTTGTTATAAATTTACAAGGAGATCAGGGGTTTTAGACATTGCATTCGCTCCGAAGCGATTCCATAACGAACTTACAATAACTTGATAAGTCATTGTTGCATGAGTTCCATACATTTTTAAAGTTAGCTATATAATTGCTTGGAAGCGAATGAATTCTATCTAACTCCCCTGGCGGGTATAAGTCAAACTAAATTATAACAGCTCACTAGCGCCCCTTATCAATGTGAAGATGCCACAAGATCCTCTTTGTAGTTTAGCTAACCCTAGTAACCCGGACATTTATTTTGGTCGGAAACGCAACCAAAAAGCCTAGCTCTGTTTGGTTTTATCCGGACCTGGCAATGCCCGCGCCTGACGCACCGTACGGACGAATTAAACGGATTTGCTTTCGATACGGGCGACGTATGGTCGCAGCGCTATATCAAATACAAAGCAAATTAAAATCCGTTGCGTGTCGTGCGTGCGTTGCCCGACAATGAACCTACCTTAAGAGAGATATAAATTTTGCGTCAGTAGAATTCAACGGTTAAAAATAACCAATGCAACACATAAGTACATATAAGTATAATTTGTTACCGTTTATTGCATGCATTTTTTTATTATATACATAGAAATGTAAGATATCAGTCGTTATATAAAGGGACTATGTTAAGTAAAGTATTTTTTTATTAATTAGAGCTGTATATAATAAATTAAATGAATATATGCCGAATTTTGTTTTTTTTTTTCTTTTTTACCCATTACCATAATAAAAATAGCGGGAAAATCCTGTCCGAAAACGGCAACAGATAAAGAAAGATGCAGAAAGTCTAAACCCAGCAGGAGTCGTGACTATTTTATTTTTAATACAGGCTAATTAATATTATTATTTACTGGATCAAAGAATATTAGAAAAGTATGTAGTTGTCTATGGCTTTGTTATATGAAACACGTAATAAAATATTTTGATGTTTCCTGAGTGGTTTATTAAGAGATAGAGAACTTCAATAAGAAGGTAGTCTTAACAAATTGCATCACAGATACAAGTAAAAAGGGTGTCCTTGTAATAAAGGTAAGTAATATTTTAAACTCTGCGGCAATCGCACCTTTCGGACATTGTGCGAGAAATCGCTGTATAGCAGTTTTTTTTTATTAATTTCTCACATTTTTAATAAATGTATTTCTGTCATTTATGTCATTTTCATTGACCACTTAGTTAAAATAGGATTTAAATATATATTTTTCTGACGTACGATTTTTGACATTTAATCGACCTACTTTACTACCTAATTAATTTAGTAGACCAAATAGATTTTTATATACGACTTACTACGATTAACATATCTCTTTGATACTAATATTTTCATGTATAAGACCCCCACACTGTAAGCCACCCATATAAATGTGAATTTTACAAATACTCCATCAAGCTGTTTAAAAGCAGATAAAAGCATAAATAAGTGATCTGAAGTCCAAAAACCTGTTTTAAAAAATTGTCATTAAAAAAACCTTTTTTATCAACTGATTTATGAGTAGCATAAACAAAAAAACCGATTTCTATTCGATTCGTGGGTTTTTGTTTTTTAATTATTAAATAGTGTTTGAAAGTATTGTCAGGGTAAACAATTACAAATTGTTATCTTCCAGACTATGTTCTACATCTGTGCCAAATTTCAGCGAGAAACCTTCTAACTTCCAGCCATTACTGTAAACATTCGTATTTCTAATATTAGTAAGATTGCAAATTAATTACCCGAACCAATAAATTGGAATAATTTATTATATAAAGTCTTTTTTGAACTGAAATTATACGGATGCGTATGACAATAGATAAAACGCTCATCTGGTAAACTGATCCGCTCTCCAGCGTCAACTAATCATTAATATTTAAAAAAAAAACACTCAATTTTTTGTACTATTTATTTTACAAACATTATACAATTTAACTATAAATAAATAAGATTGTGTATACCGCTTAACCATCTAGGTCACAAGCTTTGATATTTGATTTTACGTTTTTTGCGAAGTTGTTCAATTTTTTGACGGTTAGGCTTTTGGCTTCATTTTGGGCGGTTTTATTATTGAGCCAATACTCTTTCTCTTTGACATCGCAGTTTTCTTTTTAGATGGAGTTTGTATCTTCTTCATCTTTGACTGTTTTGTGCTTTTAATTCTAACACTTTTTTCTTTTTTTTCTCCTTCGGTTACATCCAATTTTCTTTTGACACCGTCTTTTTTCTTAACTTTTTCAACATCGGTTGCTGTTTTATCAGTTTTTTTAGTTTTTGTGTCAGATTTTTTAGTTTTTGTCTTTTCTTTTTTGTCTTCAGTTTTTTCGGTGATTTTCTTTTCGACTTTCTTCAATTTCGGTTTGCTTTTCTGTTTGTCCGCGTCGGGAGCGAGTTTGAATGACCCTGACGCACCTATTCCGTTCACTTGCACAATAATTCCAGCTTCAACTTCACTTTTAATGAGTTTCTTTATAATATAATTCACTTTCGCAACATCTACGTTATAGTTTTCATGCATATATTTTTTAATAGCATACAAAGAAGTTCCCTTTCTACTCTTCAAGGTAATTAATGCTTCGTGAACCATCATTTTTACGCTTAACTTCTTTGGCACTTCCTCATTTTCATAATTACTTTTTAATTCTTCATTAGATGGTCGTTTTATGGTTTTTTTCGTTTTTTTGGGTGGCGTCGACTCCATTTCGTCCTCGTAGCCGCTAGACATTTTCGTAATGTTTTATCTTCTATATTAAAACTTTTAACTAACACACACATTAGTTTTTACATAATTATTATAAAAACAACGTGTTGTGTCTAATAAAAACTTTTGTTGTCTTGTTGTTTAAACTAATTATGTACTTTAATTACTTTTAAAGTTCAAGAGTGCAGAGGGTACTTAACCTCAAATATTTTGAAAGCAACATAGCTTGAAGTATTTCGAATTAGTCGGGTTATATCTTAGCTATCGATTATTTTATCAAAGAAATCGGCTAATGTTATTCCGTTTGTTCAAAATTATATGAGATTTTATGTTAACTAACGCAAAGTCTTATTTGTAAAGGTAAAATTGATAAATGCCAATGATTTTGAAAAATTTGATTGTTACAAAAAGCATAGTTTCGCATATTCAAATGTCTTAAAAATTGAAGTAAAAGTTGTAAGGGGTTTTAAACCTTTTTCTAATAGCAATAAAATAACAGTATCTCATTGAGAGTACGGTTAATTAAAAAAAAACTTCCCATACTTGTTATCGTAAAATTTCGTTGCAGATTATTCAATTACGATATTTATTAATCTAAATTTTTTGTTACTACTGCCTATGAACACATAAGTCTAAGTCGTTATTCCTACCTGTGTAGTACCCTCATTACACTCAGCGTCACTAAAATCGCACCTCTCTGAGTTTGCACGAAAAATGGCCGTAATGGCTAGAAACGAATTATATTTATATAAATATTGGTATGTTTGAAATGGGTATTTGAATAGCTTCACATTATTAATAATAAAATCATGAAATCATTAGAACATTTATCATTATAGAGCGTCGTCGAGCTGGTCGATAGTAAGGACGCTAGTTACACCACCTAAAAAGAGTATAAAAGGGTCTATCTGGATGAAATTGTGTCCGTTTCCCGGACTCGGGGTGGCCGTGGGCAAGGGTCATTAAATGCTGGTCTGTACATTACTGAAATCCTGGAGAAACATGTGGTGGTATGCTGGTTATGTCGGTGATGGATTCGTGTTCATGCATGATAATGCTCGTTGCCACACCGCGGCTATTGTGCGGGATTATTTACAGGAGGTGGGAGGAGTGGGAACAAATACCCCACGAGGCTCTTGCGACCCTTGTAAGGTCCATGAAAGATCGCATGGAAGCCGTTATCAAGGCAAAGGGGGGTAACACTAGGTTTTAAGAACTTTTTTTGTATTTATTAAGTTTTTTTTAAATTATTAATTTGCAAATTTGTACATACCCTATTAATTTCTCTTTCGTCTCGTTATAAAAGTAAAATTGAGTTAATATTCCTGAAAGCTAAGGAAATTACCTTTCGAATGATACCCTCAAACCACAATATTGCCACTGGCCTGTTGTGTTAAAATAGTATTAAAATTATTTTTTTCGGATATGCGATTTTTTTTGACGCCGAGTGTATAATAGCTAAATCAATAGCTAAGTTATAACCACTATGAAGAAATGAGAAGAATAAAACAAATGCTACTAAGAATGCTTGCATCTCACAATAAATAAATGTTTTCTTGATTTGAAAAAACAAGAGGTGCTTAGTCGAGCGGAGAGATTAACCGATAAGTACTTGATTTCAACCGAAGTACGTTTGATCCCTGTTTCTTAACTAATTGATAGAATGAAATAATCATCTTTGACGAAGTGCAGTCTAACCTACAAATATAAAACCTTTAAAATATATTTGTAAATGTGCTCTAGATTTAAAATTATATCGCGTACTTTTTAATACATTATTTTTTCAGTAACAAAATACAAAGTTCATGTTTCATGTTCATGTTCATGTTTCACGTTGAATTCAATATTCCATACAATAAACATTTTAAATGTCAAGATTTGTATTTTCATAGTTGGTACTCGTGGTCAGAAAGCATATAAAAACAACTTACATTTTTATAAATATACGCTTATAAATACGCTGTAGGATTGAATTTTCTTACATAAATATTTCGAAAATGGGCATCATTTCAATAACTACAGTAAGCGTCGAAAACTGTTCATTATTTTACTGAAAAGTTAGTCTAAAAAAAAGTTATAACTTTTCTAATAAATGTGTAATATAGGCTAGAAAATTAAAATATATATTTGACATATAACGCCTTACGGATTGAAATAGCAATAATTCGAATTGAAAACTTCCGAGATTAACTTATAATCCCGTTTAACTTTTTAATTATACGTCATTGTGATAAAAATCATGATTGTATTGTAAGATTGTGACATTATCAAGGTATTCATAAGTGACTAGCTGTTGTCCGCGACTCCGTAAGCAACCTATGCACATCTATGCCAAATTTCATTAAGACTCGTTGAACCGCTCTGGAGATAACTTCAAACAAACATCCATCCATCCAAACATTCTCATTTATAACATTAGTAAGAAGTAAGATATAACAAACAACGTATTTCAATAAGTATGCATAGCCGTTTTTTTTTAATTGTAAAAAAAACAAGTTTGTTTTCTAGTCATATGTTTATTGTATAAGGTTAATAGAATATTATTAACCAAATTCTCAGCCATTTAAAAACAATAATTAGATAATGCTTAGATTTCTCGATAAACCTTCAATTGCTTTGCCTAGAAATAATAAATCCGTATTCTACAAAGAAGACAGCGTAGGACTGGCGACTTTAGCGATCTCGGTCACTTTGGTTGCTACGCCAAGGGAGTCAGTATCCTACAAAAAAGAATCCATGTAAGATTACTATTTACCAGGGTCGTTTTGTCTATATCAGACGTCCGGGTGGAAAAATAATTTGGCGCCCCGAAATGTCCCCTCGGAGGTCAACCTCTAGTGTAAAAGAAAAAGGTTCTGGAATGTTCGAGGAACCAGGGCCGGTTTTAGTGTTTCCGACGTCGTGGGCGAGATTTTTGCGGCGACCTCTTTTGTGGTGTCAGAAAAAACTCTATGGATAGGATATCTAACGCCGCTACAGCGAGGACCAAACTGGAAACCTCAGCAATTTACTTTCTAAATGAGGAAGACATTTCCCCGTACCTCCAGAGTATTATGGCGTCATATAACCTTTATGTCACCGTCTCCCAGGGTCGCTTGGTATGCCATCAGGGCCCATCCACGACCACTAGGGTCTCTTTGGTCGCGTAATCGAAAAGCTAATCGTTTGTTACAGCCCGGAATTAGACGTGCCGAATCGTATTCTCCGACTCATTATATTACTTGGTAGTATAAATACATAACTAGACAGAATGATTAGCGTAGAAGTATTTATATTTGTTACTGATCAAACTGGCTATTTGTTAAGAAAAAACAAAACCAAAAATAACACTAATAAAAAATCATACTGATAACTGGTAACATAGTTCAATACTTATATAATACAAAAAAAACGTAGTGATCTAAAGAAGATTAAGTATAAGAATTTAAACTAAATATAAAAACTCTTTTCTATTTAAATTCAGCCAACCCATTGTTTTTAAAATAAAACCGTGCAGAAACGCGTTTACTCATCTCACCTTGAAACAAAAGATAAGTTTCGCGTCATTATTATTAGCCTAAATTCTAACAGTATCCTCCATAATTCTTACAGCAAACCTTGATATAATAAGCAAAATTTATCGACCTTCTTATGTGTGTAACATAATTTAATATGTATAAAATAAATGTTTTATTGTTCCTAAATTGAGCTCAAAGTATTTCGTCGTCGTGTGCACATAGAATCCATACAATAGTGATGACATCACCACAGATTAATAAATACGTAACGAAGTAATGATTTTTTACATGGCTTGAAATATTATCTTTACCAAGATGGAATACAACTCAATATTCCATGCTATCAAACAACAAAAGATATTTTATTGCAAGCTTGACGTTCCAAGAATTTATACTCTCGCTCATTTCTATTGAAAAATGGCACGTGCAAGAAAGAGATAAATATACGAAACTCGTTTACAATTGAATTAACGAGAGGGTATTGGGGTCACAGCACGTGTTTGAATTTCGAAACACGTTTCATCCAATACGGTGCGTTCGTAACCAGCGGTTTATCATTGGCCAGACTTAACCGGTACCAGAAAACGTCAAGTTTCAGTAAAATCGATAGCGTGCAACGCTTCTCCATACGGAACGAGCGATACTGTCGCAATTCCGTTATCGCTCCCGGTCGCATGGTACCGATGTCGCTCACTGGAGGATGAATCTTTTACGTTATTCGTGCCGCCATTTCGTCGCGAAAGATGTCCGGAGTGACCGTATTTATGGCGTTCTGAATTCGTTCTCCGTGGTTTTTTGTGCATGCCGAGCTGTGTTTTGACAAGATTTCACAGAGGTAAGTGATTTTTGTTAAATTTGATATCGAACATCCGTCCATTTTGATCTAGTTTTTATTCTGTGACATTGTTTATGTTGGTGTTTTGTTGCATTACACGTCACGTTGCAAATATCGTTTCAAAATTTGAACGAGACTGGAGAATTTCTTCGAAATTTATATTTGGAACGATAAACGAATAACTTTGTAGTGTTATGGTTGAATCGATATGATTTTGTATTCACCTGTATTAGTAATGGTTGTATTTTTGGTTGTTTTGGTTAATATTTAATGTAGAGAGTAATGTAAACATGATGTCTGTAACTCGATACATGTTTTTGTATAATGTGTCATATGACATGTATGTGATTTTAAGCATCATAGTATGTTACACTTAGGGTTCTTATTGCTATGGGAATAAGGTCGAATTTCCCGTGGGTATTTATTTGACTGGCTTACTTAATTAGTTTGCTTAGGGTGTCTCTGTTCGACGTGCTGGCAGTGCCGGGGCAAGTTTCTCTTTCTTTCTTGTGATTTATTTATAGGACGAGCGAGGGACGCGCTGCCCCCCAGGGCGCTCTATATTTGTTTTAGTGTTGGAGTTGTCGATAAAAATAAATTCATCGATATATTGACTTATTCGACTTTAATAGTTTTTTTTTAAATTAATTATTTAAAAGGAATTAAAAGGATTAAATATTTGTGTGTACATTTTGTAAAACAAAGTATAATATCTGAAAGAATATGAAACCTATTTGCCTTGCTAAAAACCCGCTGCGCGCCTTTTAAGGCTACGCTTGCCAGTTGCATTGTAACCTTCTGTAACTCTAAACGTGATTAAAAATGCCGTATCGTTCAGAAATTCTTATTCGTCGAGTGTTATATGAACACTCACGCTCAGATAAAATTTCTCCTTGAGGTATGAGGTCCTATTTACCATCAAATTTTTCTCTTTTTTACTTACTCTCGTCTTCTGTCATAACAAATGCTGTCAAAAATTGCGAATGTGTTTGTCTTCTTTCTCTGAAAATTATACCATGGCCAGTGATGCATTTTTATATGTAAAGATTATGATTTAGTTGTAAAAATAAGTATTAATATTGAATTCAGTTGTATTTCAATATTTATTTAAATTTTATATTCTATATATCTACTCTTTATTTATGTAAAAATATAATTCATGTAACAGAAATAAATAACCAATGAATATGTAAATGATCGTATCAATATAAGATATCTCATTTACATTAATTTATTTCTATAAAGTTAGTTCACTAATGATATTTTTACATTATGTATTACTCAATGTATTTTAATATTAATCAATGTTAATCTGAAAAGTCATTAGTTGAATGAAAGCATCGTAATATCGATAAATACCGAAACGGTACAACACTAGTACAAAAAATGTCTGCCGTTGTTGAGGCAAAGGGGACTACTGCTTGACGATAATAATTCCAACAAACGAAAATATATTGTACGCAATACGCAATAGAGTTCAATTTCCAAACCCAAGGACGTCCCTTTGAAATATTTCCTTTTCAAATGACAAGCAAACGACTACCTTAAAGTCAAAGTATAAAGTACAATTTCGTTTGGAATTTTTATCAAGTTGTAATAATACAAATTTAAGATGGAGACAATTCCGTAGTTTTTTTTTGTTGCGTTCTATACAATAATTTATGTGGGGTGAAAAATGGAGTCTGACGGTAAGCGCCAATGGCTCGGTTTGGGGAGCGATGTTTTGTAGAAATCACATGTGAGTTGTAAAATTACGAACGATTTTATTACTTGGTGGGTAAATATAAACAAAATGCTAATGCGTTTGACAGGTCAAGCTGTACCATATGACCTTTTTGTACATTTTTTATAACCCATCTTATTCTATTACATTAATTTCTATCCATATAAATGTTAATACATACATTTTAAAGTATACAATAGTTGGGAATCCATTTCCGCCTAAAATCGGACGTTTAAACTCGGTTGTTTTATATTCACTGGCATCTGTCAAAACGGAATGTTTGTAATCTATGACGGCTTGTTTAGGCGGGTTTTTTTTTGTTTTCGATTATGCAGGCACGCATTTTTACTTTGTCAACATATTTATAGTAGGCCTAAGCGTGTTGGTAGGTTATAGCGAAATGGTATAGTTTTCAAAATTTCCTAGTAAATTACTTGGGTCGAAATAATCGTATACTCTGGATAACCGAACTTGCTCCGTAGGCTCTTCGTTCCTCATAATGCTCTATATTTGATATTAGTAAGGAGTAGAGGAAATACACCTTGATAATATGGTCTTGCCAGTATGCTTTTTTGTGAATTACCCAATATTCTCGGGAAAATCAGACGAAGCTTAATATCACTATTTCTGTATTTGATTAGGTGATTTGATTTACTATTTTAATTATTTATTACAGGTAATTTTGTATTTTGCACGATTTGTTCATAATATCGTGAAATTTCACTGCACTTAAATATTACTATATACTATAATAAAACATGTTCTCTATTTTTCCAAAGAGAATGTGAGAGATGACAATATTTGTTTTTAAATTGTGTGTACAGTGGAAACCAACTCTTATTTACATTGTGCAGTTTTACTCTTGGGATTTATATTCCTCGTAACATCAGCTATTGGTCAGTTTTACCTGTGTTCCGTGTAAATCTAATAATGAACATTCTGGTCTCAAATATTACTTGACTTAAGATACATTCAGGTCAAGTGACGGTAAAAGCCGACTTTATAGTCTTAAGTACTCAAACAGAAGTTCACACGATGTTTTATATATCAAAATTCTTTTAGATGACAACATGTTTTTAGACAAGTTTTTTTACAGTGGAAACGCACATTTAAGAACACAAGTTTAATTAAAATTATTGTGAAAAACTGACGCTTTCTTTTATTTAATTACAGATGCAGCAGCCAATTTATCAAGACCAACAGGGGTAAGAATCTTTTGTCTCATAACAATAGGCATTACAGCCGACAAAAATCTATGAACTAACGAAGTTTGATGCAATTCTTATTTCGTTAAATATATAGTATACAAGATTACATTCAGTAGTAGACGATCTAAAGCTGACGATGATGATGAAACTAGGGGAAAATATCTTCTTTCTGTAGTTCCCACAGCTGTAGATTAAACGAATCTGCATATGCGGATGTCTACGGGCAGCGGTCATTTTTTGACTAAATTTAAGTGGCCCTTTGCTTCTTCGCCGCCTTACGCTATAAAAAAACATAAATTATCTATTCCTATTTTCTACCACGAATATTATTATTTTATTTTACTATCTGGAAATTGCTAGGCTTATTAAACGCAGTGACAAATAGGCCTAGTGTATCCTCTTTCAATTAATAGCGCTTTTAATTTTTTTAACAAACCATTTCATTTTTCCAGTGGGCAGCAGGGAGCGGCTCAACAACAGATGCTTCTATGCCCCGTCAGATTAGTATACGAGACGCAAATCTTGGTTCAACCTGGTGGGTGTCTCTTCAAATTACTTCTAGTCTTCTCTTTTAATATCTGCTATTCTCTAATTCGTATCATATGTTTTCCAGGTGAACAAATACAACCGAATCAAACGATATTCATAAATCCACACAACCCTCCACCATGGATACAGAACAGACCACAAAACAACGTGATGTACGTCCAACAGATGGCGCCCAACAACTTCATGCAACAAATACAGCAGCATCCAGCACAAAATCCAATATACATCCACCAAAACTACAACAACATACAGCAAATGATACCACAACAAATTATATCTCAAGCTCAACACAAAGAAGTGCGCACAACAAATGTACAAATGACTAATATGCTGCAGAGAAACCCACCACAATCTTTACAGCCAACCCCCGGTCCATACAACACAGCACCGAGCGAGCCTACACAAAACACTGCCACTGCAAACTACGGAGTAATACCTGCAAACTACATGCAAAATCAAATCACGCAAAATCAAATAAATTTCATTCCAACAAACGTTAATAACAAACAAATAATACAAAACGTACAAACACCACCTAGACCGGCTGTAACTACAACGAACGTTATGAACTTTCAAAGAAATATTGAAATGCAGCAAAATATACCAAGACCTGTACAGCAAACGTTCCAACACGAAAGTAACATGATACAAACATCGTTGCCACAGTCGATAACAATGGTACCAATTCAGCCAACACAACCTTTACAAAGACCTAATGACACGCAAGATCAAATCACACAAATACGACCAATGCAAACATTGGTCGCCAATAAACCAACCTTACCACCAACATCAAGCACAATTTCAAATTCCACACACGAAAGAATAGTAAAAAAAATTGCTGCTGTCTCCCCAAAAGGTAATATTACTGTAAACACATTAGTTAACACGGCACCAAAAAATGTTCCTTCATACAGCTACAGACCTATCCAACCTAGACCACAGCAACAGAGAAATATAGCATCCAATTTAACACCTAATAATACTCAGACCCAAATTAAAGGTCCACCTAAATTACAGCAGCCTTTACCCTACAATGCAAACCCACTTACCTACGTCATGACATCGAATTATACCAACACTGAACAGAGTATGTTTAATAGAAAAAGAAAGAGTGAATCGCCTGATGAGGTACAAAAGAAAATGATGATTAATCACATACCACAAAAGAACTCACCCGTTGCTGTAGTATCCTCAGTTCAAACAAACACTGTCAGTAGTATCGGCGTGAATACAATGCCAATGCAAAAAACACATAAAATGCCTCCAAATATTAGTAGAATGCCTACTATGATACGTAATGAAGAAACTATAAAAGACATACAAAGAATGGAAGTTCAAACGGTCAAAGAAACATCGCAAAGTGAAACAGAGAAATTATTAAGGAATACAGTATTTACACAGGCAAGAAATAGAGTTTTATCTGATAAACAAGAAATTATAAGTACAAATGTAGTAAAAGTGGAAACTATTACAAGTGATATTAAATCTGAATCAATACTTAAGAAGGAGCTTGAAAAGGAACCAGCTAAAAATATGGAAGAAAGTAAAAAGGAGTTAGTTAAAAACGAAGAAGAAAATAAAATAGAATTAATCAATAAGGAAGAGGAGAACAAAAAGGATTTAGTCAAAAAGGAAGAAGAAATAAGAAAAGATTTAATTAAAAAAGAAGAAGAAATTAGAAAAGATTTAATCAAAAAGGAAGAAGAAATTAGAAAAGATTTAATCAAAAAAGAAGAAGAAATTAGAAAAGATATAATCAAAAAGGAAGAGGAAAGTAAAAAAGTTTTAGTCAAAAAGGAGGAAAACAAAATAGAATTAATCAAAAAAGAGGAGGAAAACAAAGAAGCAACCAAAAATGAAGACAGTGATCCAGTATTTGTTCAAGCAAAAGAAGAAAAGATAGGCAAAGATGCAAATGATGTTGTAAAACCAAATATAAGAGAAATTAATGTACTTGGGAATAGTAAATCAAATGATAAGAATGGTTTTGTTTTGACACATGTACTAGATGGATATGTTATACAGGAATCTAATATAGCTTTCCCTGTAAGTATTTTTTTTAATATTTAAAGCATATATTTAGCTAGCTATATTTTGAACATACTTCAAAAAAAGGAGGTTATAAATTCGTCTATATTCCTATTTCAAACGTCGAGTCTAAAAAAAATTCTTTTTTGTTCTAAATTCAAATTTATTTAACATCAATTCTCTCATGACATTTTATTTCTAAGGCCAGTGGTACTATGATAACCATTTTTAAATCTATGATTTAATCCTCTTTATTGAAATAATTTATGTTATTTAACTATTTTAGATCCGAAGACCATTAAAAGAGAAACCACTTCCACCAAATACAGTCACAGAGGTCAAAAAAGATACCAAAGTCAAGCCTGAGAACAGCACTAAGATCTTTAATTTATCAAATCTGAATTTAAATGACGCAGAAGAAAAGAAAAAACTGGCTGAAGAAGAGGAAAATAAAGACTGTAAAGAGAGTGTTAGTAAAAAAGGTAACATAATTGATTTATTTCTTTCTTTTTTCATTTCTCTTTCCATAAAATTTTACCATGACACCTGTATTAAAGAAAAAATTCTCTACTCTATAGAGGGATGGCAACATGTTATTGTTAATGGAAATCTGCAATACCTTATGTTATAAACAAAACAAATTCAGTTCAGGGTACTACTTTACATGTACATACAAGGAATGATAAAAACTAAGTTCTTTTTAAGATCTTTTCTAAAGATTTAAAGATTATTTTTTCTTGGTAACCTCTTAGCAACAAGAATTTTATCGTGCATGTTTCTTTTCAGATAACCCTTTTGCAGCGCTTAAGACGGAGACAGTAAAAAGCTGGACGGTATGTTTTTTGTTTAATTTGAACTTATCCCAACAAAAGGCCCCTGAAAACCTTTATTGTCGCTTCTCTTTGTGTCCAAGATTAGTTACTTATAGGATATAAATCTATTGATTAGTGATTGTAGGGAAATGATAAAAACGACATGCACTGTGGTTAATTTATTTGAATCTTGACTAGAGGATAGTAAGAGGAGTAACAAAAGAATTAACATAGAAATAACTATTGTTAGGAAAAAAATCTGACACTGTGCCGGTGTACTGGTGCAACACTAGCATTGTTAAAATGTCAAACTTTATGTCCCCTCACTAATCATTCTGAAACTAGACTTTGTAACGAAAGCACGTCATTCGCGCCAAATGATTCTATCTAATAATGTCTAAAACTATAATACAATAAGTTATTTATTCAGTATTTTACTTTTCAGGTAAAAGAATTGACGGAACATCTTGTTAAGTATGAATGGGAAGAAACTGTGTCAGTGTTACTTGAACATGAAATTGACGGTGAATCTTTATATTTAGTGTCAAAGAACCAATTAGTTAGTATCGGTATTAGTGAAGAACATGCCGATATTATCTGTGATTTTGTTAAGAGGTAAAGTGTTGGTAATCGGACAAAAGTGCAAAAAATACCTGTATATATTAGTTTTAAATTATTAAATTTGCTAAAATACTTCATTGTAACTTGATTGTTTGACAAATTGTCATCCCTCTTAATAGAGAATAAACATAATTCTTTGAAAGAACAACGGTAATTAAATTTTATGGTAATTTTTACCAATATATCTTAAAACTGACAAAGATGTGTTCACTTTCTTTAAACTATAAGCTGAGATAAATTTATCGTTCAATTCAAAATGAATGCAATAATAAATAAAGTAAGAATTGCAAGCTAATCTGTTAATTATTAGTATTGGTCTCCATTGCCACTATCCATGTACAAATTTAAAAAAAAAAGTTAGTAAGATATTATTATCATTGTACATGTGATTCAGTAGTAAAAAGCAATTGAATAAGCTATGGTGGTATTAAGCATTGAATTAAATATGTAGTAAAAAGGTTCTATGCCCCATTCATAAGACATAGCAAATGTATACTATTTGTAAATAAACAAATTGTTAAATTTTATTATAAATAATTTATACACAAAGTTATTTATGTGTTTATTTATTTATCTGTGTGTATAAATTATTTTTTACTAAACTTGCCGCCTTTTGATATTTGGTGAAAGTTTAATAGAAATGTAATAAATTATTTGTAAATTTTTAAATGTACTTAAAATATGAACAATGGGGTACATTTTAAACATAAATTAAGAATTAACATTGACTTCAAATTCTCTGGCTCAATATTAAACGTCCTTTTGCATTATTATTATTGACATTTTTCTTGTGATCTCAAAAATGTTAAGATAATGTAACAAGTAGAAGTAAACGAAATTATAAGAGTTTGTTTTAGTGTTTTAAATAATTTCCACTGTACACATACCATAAAACTAGTAATAATACTAAAATAAAGTAATTTTTACTGTGAATAAAAAAAACTACAAACTCACTTGCTTGAATACAAATCTTTGATTTTACAACATGATGTTTTAAGTCGTACTAAACACGAACAAAATAAATAAAGGTAAAATTTTTGACAACTGTTTCTCTAAAATATTAATTCTATTTAAATTAAGCTTAAGAATATTGTTGAATACGTACCAAAACCACAACAAAGATCCATGGCAAAATAGATTAACAACATGACATTGACATTACGCTGTTAGTCTATGGTCAATATTTACGATTTTTTAGATTTTCTACAAAAAAAAACAGTATTTTTAGGTTCAACAAATAATCGACTGCTTGGTAAACATATACAAATGAAAATAAATAAATTACTGTAATATAAATGGATCTTGTGTTAGTACCGACCTAGTCAGCTGATTTAAGTAAGGGACGATTGACGCCAGTAAAAACGTTGAAATGGTTCTCCATTTTAAATCTTCCTCCGATCAATAGTAACAAATTTTGTTGCTGTAAATGATAATGTTGGTTGAAGCTGTCTTCCCCTAAAATTATTCTAATGTATAGCCTCAAATAAGTGTTCATTGATGTTCAATATGGTCACTTTTCACTGCATTGATTGAAGTTGTACATATATGTTTTACAGAATTAAAGTTATTCTGTACATGTTTAGTGTTTTCATTTACTGACAATATTTTTCGTGTGCTGTCTTTGTCATGTTTTTCTTTTTTTTTGTTTAGCGGTTAAAATAGGATTACGAATTTGCGAAACTCAGAACGTAATATTTCCATCAAGATATGTTGTTCTTTTATTTGAAGTTTAAAATCTACATTGTAATTATATCGGCAAATAATAAAAAAAAATTAGACGATCCACCAGACTAGAAAAAAAATCTAAACACATTTTTAATTAAAGTTTACAACAAAGATACATAAAGGTAAAAAAAACAATTGTACGTAAAAAATAAATGAAGTCGTGTAGAAAAAATTACCAGTGATAGAAAAATTGGCCACGGTGACGTAGAATTAGTTCCTCTTTGTTTTTCCCATAAAATTTACGACTTGGGCTAGTGGCGCGAACTTTCCTCGTCGACATCTTTTTTTCAGCATCATTTCCGGCACTTCTTCTGACTCGATCATGGATGAATCCATGGTTTTGGAAACCAGCTCCTCGGAAAAATCCTCGGTGTCGTTCTTTTCGCTATCAGAAATCTCTCTATATTTTTTGCTGTATTCTCCTTTCGCGCGGGGTTGAACCTTTTCGCGCCTACATTTCGGGTCATGCACGAATTTAGAATAGTCCGGCGCTTGACACATTAATGTTTCATAAAAAAAACGATCGGCTCTTCCATCTGCTTTCGCCCTTCCTTTACCGTGTTCTTCATCTGAACTTTCGTTGGAAGAGTGAAGGGCTGGCGAGCCAGTTAACTTCTTATGAGGTCGTTGACTGCAAATAGTATGTACTTTAGTGTCGTAAATTTGAAGAAATGCTTCGCGTGGTAAGGTGGTAAAAGGAGCTTACCATCTCTTGTTATCTCCGGCTACAAAATTTGGAGGAGCTCGCGGTGATTGCATTGGCGGACACCCTGGCCCAGCTTCGTCACCAACGCCCTTTTGACAAGAATTAGAATTATTTTTAAACTGCTAAATTTACGACTATTTGTGATTGTTCTCATTGTAGTTTGTAATTTGTAACTTACTTTATACCCGAAATGGAAGTAGCAATGCGAAACTTTTTCTACATCGGCCCAGGCGACGATGTACCGCGCCATACTGAGTGGGATCTTTGGCAGAAAGTTGGAATGGAATTTGCCCTGACAATAGATTGTGATTACATCTGTGTCCTTCACTTCGAAGACTATCCTAAATATCGTACCTAAATAAAGATACACAGATGATTGAATTATTACAGGTATCTTTAGAATTATTAAATAATTGTGAATGTAAAAATAAAAATCGGTTATAAACTAACCAGGTACAAACATGTTATAGTTAGTATCGTAGTTGCCGCTGCCTATCCAGATACCGTTTTTCCTTGACAGAGAAATAATATTGTCGCGATGGAATCTCACATCGAAATGCAGCACCACGTCCCTTGGTTCCTCACCTTCTTGAGCGCATAGATTAACCGACATCCTAAAATAATAGTATTTAAAAAAAAATATATATGGACTCCGCAACTGGTGATTTGGTCGATGACCAGATACAAAACTCTTAACTCCTAGTATTTGGGTTTATACTACAACTGTACTTATAGGATATGAACGTTATAAGATGGGACTTTAACAATTTCACTGTGCCTTTCTGCTTGCGTTGTCGTTTTTCTTTCGTTCCTAGTAAGTGGCTTCTATATTGCGACAACTAGTAAGTACCTACATATTTTGTGTATGGTGTGAAAAGCTCAAATCATCATTTGGATCATCATAATATCATTAGTGATTTTCACTCCGACTTACTTTCGGGCGTTGTCCTTAATTTTTCCACCAATTTCAATTTTGTCGCCAACTTTAAGCAAAGCGGGAATATTAGCCGTAAAGACAGGCATCTTACTCTAAGATTTGCACCGTTACAATAATATTTCACAGCAGTTGTATCCAGGTTAGTGTAAATAATATCTTTTGACATTTTGAACAAATAATTTAAACATAACAGCGATGTTTATGTCTTTTGTATAATTTATTAATCAATAAATATTGATACCGAATGTGTAAAAATGTGACACCTGCCACAAATCGTATTAAACTCTAGAAAAATTATTTCCTTTAAACTATAAACATTGCGAATGAATTCAATACAAAAATGTTGTTTTTATTCTTGTCTACTTTTGCTGTTTGAAAATACGAGTTAAATAATCCATGTTATGAAAATGGCAAGCTAGTTCTTTTTAATGTTGTAATTTTTTTACACTATTTTCAAAGAATTTGAAAGAAGCATAAAAAATTGGAAAACAATTATTGTATTGGCAGAATTTTAAAAGAATGATTGAATGTGTCAACATTACTTAAATGTCAAAGTCAAAAAGGTCACCTACTTATCAAAGTTAACCTATAAAAGTTTAACTTTTTAACTGATACGGTTTGTTTCAACAGCTCAATAATTGCAATCAGATAAATTGTAAATAGTAATTAATACAAACCTACAACTCTATAGGTAAGACGTTTAATAAGTGTTTTGCAATATATGAAGCAGAGTTATACGATTTGTTTCGCCTTCCCGGATACTTTCGGCAATTATGAATGTATTTATATGTGTGTAAAATTAAAATGTTTATTTGTAGCTTTAAAATTATAAAAGAATTGATACAATATTTTATTAATCATAATTAATAAAATTAGCAGTAAAATGATGCAACATACAAAGTATTGAATGAAATATTTATGACACATAATTATAATTTTTCTACAAAATTAAATAGTTACCTAAATAATGTAATAAGGGCTTATTTTATCTAGATACAATATTTAAATTTTATTACATATTGCAGATTAAGCCATATTTTCCATAGACATGTTTATTTGATCACAAGGTTCTTTTTTTTTACTAATTAACACCTCATATCTTCTCTTACTAATATTATAAATGCGAATGTTTAGATGGATTGATGTTTGTTTAAAAGTATCTCTGGAACGGCTGAATGGATCTTGAGGAAATGTGGCATAGATATAAAACAGTCTGGAAGAACACATAGACTATAAAGTTTTTTTTAACTCCCCGCGGACAGAGTCGCGGGCGACAGCTAGTATTAAATTTAAATAACAATTAACTCATAAATACAAGTATATTTATAGAGTACTGGAGTCTATTTTATACATACATTCATCATTTATGTAAATTATCCTTATGTATTGTGCTTATTATTATGTAAAGTGCATAGTGACATTGTAGTGACAACATACAGCATATCAAGTATTGACCCAATACTATGTTTATATTACGATAATATAGTGCTTTAAAATGATAAGATAGTTATTTATAACCTCCAGTTTAGACCTATATAACAAATTTTATGTGAAAATATTTGTGTTTTTTTTTTATATATCAGACGGTGGCAAACTAGCGAGCGGCCACCTGAAATCGTTGAAATAGCGAGGTGACTGTTGCCCATAGACATATGCAATTGCATATGTGTTGCCTACCTTTAATCGACGGAGGAGAGGGTGCACGGAAAGAAAATATTTTCCCTTTCCATGCATCCTCTCATCCGGAAAGTCAACCTCCACTTCCCATCCTTTCCTTATAAGAAAGAGGGTGGGCAGGGAAAGTGGACTATATAAGGCCTCCGGGATGCATTTGCAACAAAAAGATATAAGAAAACCTAATTTTATTATTAAAAGAATTAGTATAATTGGGAATTAAAACACTGAGGGAGGCGCTTAGCGTAAATTTAATATGTGAAATCCAAGGACTGTTTAATTAATCAATGACTGAAATAGCAAATGTCCCGTCAAATGACAATAAAAGCTTCATTTAACAAACTTTTTAATCAGATTTATGTGCAAAACAGGATTTTTTTTATTTCTAGTGTTATCAATATGGTGGTTTCAGAAGAAACCCAGCCAACTGTGGAGGGAGATGCGGCAATAAGTAAAAAAGCGGCAAAGAAAGCAGCTAAAGCTGCTGAAAAACAACAAAAGAAAACA